GTGCAATTTGATGACTCGAAAGAGATTCAGGTGGAACATCAATGTGAAGGTTGCCACTGGATGGTTTTAGCCCGTCTCGTTGAAAGCTACTGGCGTGGGTTCTCGGGTGTGACTGGTATCTCAATCTTCATGTCTCAGCAGTACATTACACATTCAAGCTTGTACTGCTGATACTTCAAGTGATACTCTGTCTCCTCCTGCAGCTGGCCTTCGTTGAAACTTTCAATTTCTTACAACGAGAAGAGAGAAACGTTTCCACCAGTTCGGATGTCGAGGAAATGCCTTCATCTTCTTTCGAACATGGTTCCAGATCTGACTCTTCCATTCAGTCCAGTACTCTTAAGTCTGAGGTTCCTGGTTCCAAGACCAATGAGAGCCAAATGTCATCTCCAGCAACCTTTTGTTCTACCAAGCGATGATGGTCATCGCTTTCCGACTCAGTCATTTACCCAGAGATTGAGTAACAAATAAGTCCGGACTGCACTTCAGACAGTATACATCAACAAGGGCATCGATTTTTATTCGACAGAACCAAGTGTCACAAAGCGCTCTCCTAATTTGGTGCTGAGAACTCCCATATGCCAGCCAGAAGCTGATTCAGACCACCTTATCCTGCAGCCAATCCGGTCGCGGTTGTATGAAGGGCAATCTGAGGGATGACTACTGAGGCGATGTGGCACGACATCACCAATGTGGTCAGTGCAAGTCCCTTCAGTAGCAGTCGTGCAGGGCTAGCAATCACAGTTGGAGTGGATTCCGGTTAAGCCAAGGATCTTTCCAGACTGGCAACCGTCGAGCACTTCTCTCAGTCCAGATCGTTGTGGCTCGCGTGGGGAGCCATCGTTGATGCTCCTAGATGAAGTTGGCCGAAAATATTGTTACAGATCTAGCAAGAGCTTCGGAGTAAACTGGTACGGGAGGGACTCTAAAGTAGAGGAGAAGAACAAGAGAATCTGGGCTCACAAACAACAAGACTAGCTAGAAGAGCTTCTCACTGGGATTGAATCTAATGAGCAAGCACCATCTGCTGCTGCTGCTGCTGATGGCGGGATATTACGAGGCTCCGTTGCTAAAACTTGGATTTCGATCCTCGCACCTCTTGGTCATGCCAACAGAGCGACCAAATTACACTCACTAAGTGCCTGCTACTTCAACTCCATAGGAAACACTAATCTACAGTGCACAGCTCAATAGTGCACGAGACTAACATCCAGAGACCAACATTTTACTTCAAATCTGCACCCAGACCAGACGATAACCATCAGCATCGACCTAAGCCCACCCATGTCCACCCATGCTATTTGAATTACACCAATTCTTGGTTGGATCTTGACAAACACTGCCCTTAGCATTACTTGTGACCACCTATGGAAAATTAATGTCACCCAAAACCCATGGGGATGGGTGGGTTTGGGCATGGGCACCCAATGTTGGGCTCTGCTAACATCCGAACAAGCCCTCTGTTCTGTCCACGGACAGCGTCGCTCGAGGAGGCTTTCGAATGCTTCAGACGTATTTCAAACGTAGTTGAGAGGCCAGAATATTCATCCATGGTGCAAGTTTTCCTCATTGTATCTGGCTTCCACTTGTCTCTGCCAGAAACTCGATTCGAAACCAACTGATCTTTGTCGACCATTAATTAGAACAAAAGGACACAAGTTTTGCCTGATCTCAACCTTTGTGTGTGTCTAATTGTGAAAATTGGTCCTTCTCTTATTTCACACTCGTTTGTCCTGACAACTTCAGGTCAAATCCGCTTTACCAATCTCCAAGTATGTGAAACGACTAAAAGTGCTCATCTGTCTAGCCAACATGCTTAACTTTCAAGAGAAACTACAACATTCTTGACTGAAAAACAACATGAGACAACAACCTTTTATAGATGAAATGTCAAATAGTAGTAGTAATATTTGTGTAGAATCTCATCTGATGATGGCTCCTACACGTTCTCGCTTTGGACCAATCCCCGGAACATTTGCTCACTCTATTTGTGGTTCTATCATATTGGCCACTTCAATACTTTTCACAGCATGAATTTATCAACTCAACTCGCTTCACGAGACCCAGGCCCTTATTCGCCTTTGGAATGAATCGACACTTCGTATTCAACCTGCGACAATAGCAGCAATAGTCAATCTGTAGGTTTTGTCTTCACTGGAATGAAGTATGCCCTCCTCCAGATATTATCATGTGAATTCTGACGTACCTTCTTTTCTTCAAGACACCGATTCGACCTCCCAACAGTCTCCTCGTGACCTTGATGCGTTTCAATTCGCATTCGCCTTTCGAAGTTTGAAGCATGAGGGGTAAAACAACAGATTATAACATAATATATGCATTCATGAAAAACCATCGTGTATGATGGACATGTTTTCTCGTCCTGCAGTTGTTTTGACACATCCCGTAATTTGACCCATATCTTCCAATGCTTCTTTAAGCAAGTATATTGTCATCGACTTTGCGAGTGTCCCCAAACATTCTCTGAATGAGGCCATTCAATCCCTGGAATTTAATCTAAAGCCATATCTCCAGAGTGCTTATTGGTTCTAGATAACAATTTGATATAATCTGATGATCAGAGTGATTCACGACTATCTTTCTCTTGTCATCACTAGTTGCCATTCACCTTTACCATCAATTATGTTACGAGAAATAATAAAACTCACCCTTACCCTCAGATGTGCTATGACAATCAGTAAACCGAGATCAGACCTAGGTGGATACTACCAACTTTCAGAAATGAGACAAACTTGAATTTGTGCTTGTGTACTAATTTCACCCCGCTGTACACCAATTCATCACTCAAAAAAATATGATTAGTATTCAAAAAGATAATCACTATAAATTAAATTTCATTTGTTCTAAATAGTTCACTGACACTAAATGTTGCACAATTCTCTTCCTGGAACTAACACAAATACCATACCCTAAACAATTGAACCTGATATATATCCAAAACCTTGAACTACTGAGATTCACACAAATTCGAACATAAACTAATATAACTAATAACTCATTAGTCACTATTAACCAGAACTTATAGTTATTCTAATTACTATAACCGAGAAGCCTTCATAAATATTATATAATATACCCAATAAAGTACTTCATGGATATGACAAAAATCGGTTTGGGTTATTGCGTGAGAAAGGTACGAGCAAATGGACTGTCATGTCATAGTAGTATTATGTTGAATGCAAATTCATGACGTCCCCTCTTCCTATGATACGACAGTATTAGATGCAATGAACCTGATTTCCAATATCAATCCAGCATCTCCAGGTTGTGGGCAGAACTAGCCAACGTGCATTCTTGAAGGCCCACGGAAAGCTCATGAAGATTGGTATACTGTACTACGGAACACTGCTTCCCTCCCTAATGCAACTATGCTAGAAGTGTACCGTGCTTACGTGATGTTATCTGCGACATAAGGATTCGAGATGTCACACGGAGAACCGAAAGATGAGGAAAATGCACTCTGTGATAAGAGCAAGTCCTTTCTGTGCAGAACATATTGTGTAACCTCAAGTGTATAAGAGGTTCCAACAGGGCCAGCGTTTACGGAATCAACACGTTGATCCCATATTGTACGATTGTCTAGAAAGATCGAGTACAAATACTCTATATTAGAGTGGCGGGGGTTTGACTGATGTTAAAAGGTGTGTCATGGCACCGAGGCCTGTTATTGACCTACGGCTAACCAAGATCGAACCGAAAAAATAAATGTGAAGCAAGCTAACTGTAATCTACATGACTGAAGCTTGAAGTCCGATAATTCCATGCAGTCCAGTCCGACACTAGTTGGATGGAGTTGGAACAAACGAATGCAATGCATCGAGTCCGCCGCAAGTTGACTTGAAGGAAACAGCAGCGAGTGAGAAACGTCGGAACAAACCATCACGTAGCGTACAAAACTATGACTATGAAACTGGAAATGAGTGTTCAGGGACACCATGAACGTAGATAGTTGTCACAGTGTATACATAAACATATATCCTAACTCAACAAGTAGTTTCATGAAGACGGGGAGCGCTCGGCTCGAAGGTCGTACTCGAGTGCCAATACGAAAAGAGATAAGAATCGAGTGAACTGTGATTGCTCAGATAGAAAGAACTGTCTCGTTAACCGGTACTTATTAAAACCAGACATCCATGTTACCAGACGAGGTGGGATGCTTGGTAGCATAATCTATCACTCATACTTGATAGTTCAAACGAACAAAAAGCAGAAGGTACGGTACGTTCATGTTTCTTTAGCTGATAACCTGATGCACAAGCAGATTAGCTCAGCGACTAACGGTAACCCTGCTGACATTCACTAAAGACGTCATGTCCTCTCTCTCTCTCAATAAGTGACTCTCAAAACGGGCATGCTTGTTAATGCGGACTACAGAGGGGCACGCAATGTCCAAACCTGGCGTTATATAGCAACATTTTAGTCTAGTGCTAAAGATCTGGGCGGTCAGACTTTATACCACTTTTGCATTACCGGGGCCTAATGACGAGAGGTGATGAACATAGACATCAACACAGGTTGCTACTCTTCAAACGCGGACGGTCCTTTCATCATAAATAACCCGCTAGAGAAATTAAGTTTGTAGGATCAATTTTGAAGATTTTTGGCTATAACAATTCAGTATATCCGGGCGCTACGTCTCTCCGACTATATCACACAAACGATCTCGGAGATTTTCTTGTGGTTCATCTGGAAATTCCGAATTGGATTGGCTCGCCGACGTTAGCCACAAAATCAGGGGGGCTATATAATAAGGATTACCCAAGCTCACAGTCTGATTACAGACCCGGTAATTGAGTGAGAAGACCGTCTCCACTTGCTAGACATCTATGTCCTAAGCCAAGTCATGGATATGATTGATTACAGGTACGCGAGAAGTGACCACGCGATACAGTCCAATGTAAGCAAACATCATGACTGTCATTACTCGAAGTCTGTAAAAAATTCATACACCCGACACCATGAAGAAGTAACGGAGATGAAGGTTGCTTGGTACAAAATTGACACTTTATTCTAGAGTACATCGGAACACTTACTGTTCATCATCATCTGTTGAGTCTCCTCTTCCAGGCAGAATCTTTCCTATATTGAAAGGTCCGTCTGAATTGCGCTCAGATCTATGTGCATGAGCAGAGGCATGGATCTCAGTATCAGTTTCTTTATGAGGCAATATATTTCCTAACTTGAAGGGTAACTCGCCATCATTGCCCTCCTTATCGTCATCGCTCTCCGAATGGAGTATAGAAGGCAGCTTCAGTCCTTTGTTCTGCTTTGCAGATTTCTTCCCCTTTTTCTTGTCGCCCTTGAAATTATCGAAAACATCCGTTACAGCCTGGAAAGGGTTGTTCACAGCATTGTTCACCTTCTTCACAAACTTTACCACACCAAATCGCCAGGCGAATGTTGAAACGAGCATGAACCCAAGAGCCCAATGAGTTAATCGGTTCTGTCGAATGAGATTCTTAGTAATTTCCTCCTGTCGAAGCTCAATATCAAGCTCGCTTTGCTGAAGCTTCATAAGCTGACTATTTTCGTCATTATTCACCTTGGCTGCACCTTCGGTGCTAGAAGTCGTCAGGGTTTTGCAAAGCTCTTCAATAGCTTGTGAATTTCTATCCATCGCGTGAACCATAGCTTCTGCAGATTTAGCGGCTGAAAGGGCTGCTCTAGAGGCTGCATGTACTACTTGCAGCATATCAGCTGAGTCCATGTCTTGGTCTCCATGAGTCGATATGGATTGTGGTCTCGGGCTCCGGTTGCTTGCTCTTCGTCTCGTAGAAAGTGCGTCCCTCTTCTGTGCCCTTACGGCTTGAACCTGAGCCAGAAAGGAAAAAGGAGGTTAATATGCTGCGTCCCCAGTCACGACGTTAACATCAAGAGACGAATACCAACTCGAGGACCGTCAGGATATCTCGATATGAAGAAAATTAAACCAGGAAGGGCCAAAACTCATGGAATTTTTGGTTATGAGTTTATCTGGAACAAAACGAACAAGACCCTACAGCCACAACAGGTCTGCCTCCTGATGTGGTCCTGGTCTGCCGCTTCTAAGTTCTTCTGTTTGCTTCTGAACAGTTTCTATCTCTGAAAGGGGCATCCTTATCTAATAGTCCTTCCATTTCCTACAGAACCCGCCCATATCACATCTGCACCCGTGATTTCAAGCTTGCAGGACTTAACTGATTGCGTTTCTTATTCTTGCCCCTGTAGCTAGACCACCATGAAACTTCACAAGACAGAATAAATGAGGCCGGCTGTCATTTCATGAATTGTCTCTTACAAATTTCCTGGGACAAAAATAGGTGAATAGAGGGCCAGCCTGCAACTGATAAAACAAGTAAACACACTGACAGAACCTGACTTAGTAGAATCGTTGTTAATGTGCACTACAGGACATTTATAGTTATATTAGTCTGAAACAATTTATGTTGAACCTTCCATAATGACCGGAGATCACAACTGCCTCAAGCAGCAAAAGTTTCAAACGACTGTAGTATTATGAATTCTGCCTCGAACGCAAATCCACTGTCTGGTACGAAACTTTTTACTGTGAGTATCACGGGCGCTAATAGGATACTGTAGGTAAGAGGTAATCTACTGTTAGTCGCAAAAACAGACCCGATTTTACCATTTACAATGAGTTTTTTCTTTCCAGATTCAGTTGTACTGCACGGAGACACATGTTCAGGCAGTATAATCATCCACTTAAAATGGATGATTGTAGATGTACAGAATTACTTTTACTGAATAGAATACTTATAAAGTACAGAATTACTTATACTGAATAGAATACTTATAATGTACAGAATTTTGTCAAGTTCTCTTGTAGGATGAGGCTCATGCGTATAGTGTTTGTTCGATAATTTAAGTTCCACGTTGGGTTTATATTCACCTTTCTGTTTTCGAAATCAACAACTAAATGTCTTCCAACTGATAAGGCTCGATCACTCCATCCGTACCTTGTCGACAAAATGCAAATTGACAGGCATTCACCCCGAACATCCTCAAAGTGACTCGTTTAGAGTCGATTCATTCCAGCACCAATAAAAATCTTAGAATCTCTAGAACGTCCAGGCGCTACCCTGGCGTGAAATGAGAAATTTACAGTAGAATTATCTTCGACAACAGATAGATAAATATGTGTTCTTCATTTTTGGTAATTATGTCTCGGCCCTGTACTCCTTCACTGTCATCATATTTACTACAAACTAATATACGTAATATTCATATACCAACACACACAATACTAAAATATTTCATCTGACCAGATTTCTACTGAGAAATTGCTTAAACCAGAGGTAGAGTGAAATCTCGTCTCCGAGTCGTAGTTACACGATTACTTCAAGCAAAGAGAGATCAGAAAAAAGCAGGGTAAATACGGCAAGGCAGCTCGAAAAAAGAATGGTGCCTTCATGAAAAAGTGGTTTAAGCAAGCCCGGAATATTCTATGGCAGCCAAATTACAGCATGAAAGAAAAAGAGAAACCCACGACCCACTTTGACTTCGCTATGGTCACAGGTGTTCACCTTCTTCAGCAGTCTTGAGACGCCATTCAGCTCCCTAGAGTAATCTGGAGACGGTGGGCCCCTTTCGTCAACCCCCACATCATCCGGTTCTCCATCGACACTGTCTGCAGCCTCCCTCTTACAATGGCTCCGAACCTTTTGTAGACTCTGAAGAGCACGCTCGATCAGTTCCAGCTCACTCACTGCGAAAGGCTCTGAGAGATTTTCAAGATCCACCCCCGACTCTGTTGCGCTCCCATCTGCCAGAAACAGTACTCGGCATTAGAAAAGGCTTCATTATCTGCACACGCCTACAAGTGAATAAGTTCTTAAAAAATCAAAACGCAAATGAGCATAAGCATGAGTTGGAGGTACGATCTTCACTCTCAGCTTACCCCGTTCAAAAATCTCTTCCAAACGGAGATGCGATTGCGAGTCTTCCAGGTCAGGCTCTACTCTCAAAGAACTGTATGAAGGGGACACAGATCCATCGCGGCCGCCCCCTTCGCGCATTATTTCCGATTCCACCTCGCCATAATCTACAGAGTCAGTCTCAGCGCCACTCACTCCTTTCTCGTCATCCCCGTACTGACTCTCCTCCTCTCTCTCTCTCACGTTAGAGGAATGATTCGCGTCCTCTTGACGATTTTCCACGGCCTCGACGTCAACGTCTGATTCCACTTGTCGCTTGCCAGAATTCTGCTGCTCCGACATCTCTGTCTCGAGCGCACTTGGTCCTGCGGCATTCAGAGAGGACTGCGAGTGCAGGGAAGAAGTCCTCTCAGGGGAGTCCACAGACGGAGGAAGAGAGGAGGGAACAGAATTCTGATTACTACCAGCCATAGCCGCGGCTGCTGCTGCTGCTGCTAGCAATTGACGAGGAACCGAAAACAAAGCCCAACTCTATTTCGCATTGATTTGATCTCCCTCCAGCAGCTAGCCTGTCCTCCCGGAAATATCACCTGCGCACCGAACGCTCCTAAGGATGAACTCCTCCAAGCCGCCACCAACAAAAATACTCTTCGCCACAAGCTCTCGAACCGCTCGATGCAGCATGTGCATGCGGCGTAAGTTCTCGATCACTTCCCCGGCCTAACCACCCTGGGAAGGAAACGGCGGAAGATGGAATCGGCCCTGCACCTCGGCCCCGGATCAGCGAGTTTCACCAAGCCACCGTTCTATCGACGAATTACATGCCTCCGCACCGCGTCCACCGAACCGCCCGCACCAGAGCTCCAGCGCCAGCATCCTCCTCCCACTCGTCCTCCTGCTGCTGCTGCTCATCGTCGTCTCGGGCTAATTTCGCCCAATTGCATCATCGTGCTATCTGATTGCATCGCTCTTCCGACGATCTCTCAAACATCCACCTACGGAGCTCAGGACTGTCGGAGCGATCTCATCGTCCCGTCTCGAAGCAGCAGCGCTCTTCGCAAGAGCTGCGGCAATGCGATCCGGACGTGAGGTGCGCACGGGGCGCCGTGATTTCTGCAGCGCGAGCAGCTCGAGCCTCGACGCTCGTTCCGATGCGATGAGCTTCGCCATCAATCGAGGCCTGCCAGAGCGCGAGCCTACGGTCCTCTGCCCTCCGCGATCTTTACCCCGCCATGTACGTTTTGTCCCATAGCGTATCCTTCCAGAATACAAAAAAAAAATACGTATGTAACCCGATTTGGTTTTTGCTTGAAAGAAAATGTTAAAAGGATCACATATATTTATCTTCCATCTATTTTATATCTCCTCTTTCTTTAACAGCCATAAATATTATTGGAGTTTCAAATAACTTTCTCGAGTGGTGACCATCTTGACTTTCAATGTTCGAAATCATGACCAGGGTATGTATGTACGAAATATTTTTCTAGTGTATCTATACAAATAAAATTTTGATGAAAATCATCATCATCATATTCACAAACAAATTCTAAATCTTCCAAAGCCACTTCATCCAATAGTATCATGTTGAGCTCTTCATCTTCTTCGAGTGCTATGTCAAATGAGCTCTCTTGCTCTAGTGTTAACAATGAAGAGTATCTTGAATTTGGTTTTGAATGAACGTAATGACTTGATCTAAGGATGTCAATCATCTTCATGCATTCCAACTACACATGATAGTATATTTTTGTCTTTGATAGTAAAAGTTATGAAAACAATCTCTCCGTTGCGGCAATATGAGGAGCAATAGAAAATGTTTTCATTGCAATGACAAGCAATGCATTTGCACCAACAACAAAATATCAAAAATTCATTGTAGAATCTTTGTTTGGACTATTTGTGAAAGCTTTACTCCGATTGATGTAATACTTCAAATCCGCTAGCAGTGTATAAGTCTTGGTAAAACTCCATCCTTTAGCAAGATTTGAAATATCTTTCCAGATGTTGTTGTATGTCTTTTTTTTAGAGACGGCTACCGATTGATATTGAAGGTTCAAAATAAGAGCTACAAAATAGATAGAATGATCAAATTTTGAAGCTCTCTCTCAAATAATCTTGATCATGTGAACCTTGAAATTGCTACAGTTCTTGGTAACCTCGGTGTACTTCACAATTGTGTATAATTTGATGAGTTTAGCAAAAACTTGATCTAATGTGAAGATTGATTGAAGACGAATTATACTATCAGCCATGGTCTTAAAAAGTATACAAATTAACTTGTTGATTGCAAAAAAATAATCAAACTCCATCAACTTGAAAATATCTTTGTTGGTGAGAGTCTCGTTGGCTAGCTTTGATTTATCAACGCAATGTTGAAATACTTTGTGGTAAGATGCAACAACTAGAATTAAAAATACATATGAATACCAAAGTGTTTTGCAATATATTGATAGAAACTTACTAATGTTATTATCTCCATCCCAAGGTCTTGAGATATATTGTACAATCATTAAAAGTTGGAAAAAAATTAATCAACTTGCAATTCTTGAAAACTTGTTTCATAGTATCATAAGATGATACATACTTTGTGATCAGATTGAATTGATTAATAGCACAATGCAAATAAACAATATTCGGATTTGAGCTTGCCAAAATAATTTTCAATCTAAAGTTTAAAATTTTAAGTTTAAAATAATTTATAAATACATGTTTAAATATTGCAATTGCAATCATTGTAAATTATCAAAGATATACCAAAGTAAAATTTAAAAAATAATATTATTTTCAATAGTATTTGAATTAAAAAATAGTATAATATCTTTTTACTTTAACCTTTGGCCTCTTCGATCTTTTTGAAAGAATGACTGTTTTGGTAATCAAATTACAAAATAAATATCTCTTATCAATTATTTGAACTAAGATCCATGTATTTGAATGTTTAAAAAAATAAATTTAACCTCATTTTAATAATAATGTATTTAGATTAACAAAATTCATCAATAAATATATATTGTTAAATTTTTTATATTTTTTTATGTGAAATATTCATAGATAATTTTATCAATTAAAATATATTTTTAATATATAAATTCTTTAAAACTTAATTACACAAAATTTGAATCAAATTGAGCTATTAAAAAAATCAATGATGTAACATATAGTAGAAGTGACAATATGTGGAAGCAGTATGTACTTATTCCAACTTCAAGGGGCAGATTTCAGTTTTTGACTTCGGAGTCGATAGTTTTTGACTTTTCAACTTAAGACTTATTTGTAAAGTCTTATCAGTAGCCCTTTGTAGATTAGGCATTCTAAAAATAGATGCATAATATGCGTAATATTACGAGAGAGGGATGACTAATTTCAAAACAATGCAAATAGTAGTACGTCCGGACTTCAAACTCCTTCGGCAACACCACATTCCATAAAACAATGACCATCATTCAAAAAAAGCAACAGCTCCTTAGACATCACCTTTCAATCTTTTGCACCGTGTGGAGTATGGTCTATTGGTTTCTTAGAAGAACTTGCACAATGGTGTGATCACCTTTGTTCAATGTAGCATTTGCTTTTGGCCACAAAAGCAAACCGAGTGCAAACAGAGTGAAAAGTACTAATTACAAGACCTTTGGTCTTGTCTTTCGGCCAAAGAACTACTAGACTCACATGAAGCTCGAGCACCCGCAGCGTTGGGAGTCATTCTAGCAGCTTTCGGCGATGGAGAAGTCAGCATACTTTGAGATCGCGATCCCTTTTGCGAACACCATTGTCTCCCACCTGGACACGGAAAAGTATGCCCTGAACTTCTTTTTTTGACATAAGCATCGTTAAAGTTTTTATTGGGGATATGTTGTGCAGTCCCGACGAAATGGACGGCCAAACTCACGACAACTCCATGCGCATTTTCGGTTACGACTTGGAATTAGATAGCTACTAAACAACGGATAATACACCCGTGGCCTTCAAAATGACTGTCAAATATGCTAGCATTGGGCCTAGCTTACGGCAAACTGCGTTGGCACTTCGGGTAGTCAAAGATATGGCTGGTGTCTTGAAAGTTGGCGGAATGAATGAGCTCAAGGTCGCCACATTCATCACCATTCAGTGCGCGGTAAACTTTCAAATCATTGCGAATGTTCTGCAAAACCTTTGGGCCTTTTCTCTTGCGTTTGATGGTTCCACCTACTTGGAAACATCGTACACCCACATCCACGTTCGCTTTGTTTGGGAACAGCAACTATACAACGTCCATGTTGTGTCAACTTCATTTTTTGGTTTGCATAACAGACTGGCTCGGTATGAAATGCTTTGCAAAATTTTCTCTGTGCTAAGTCCCGACTAGAAGTCCAAGCTAATCGATGGATCTTCTAATGGTGCGTTCAATATGACCATCGGCAACAATAGTGTTATCTCCAGGTTGGAGTGAGAAGTTCTTCCCGGCTTCAAATGTGTGAGCTGTCTTTTGCACAAGTTGGATATTCCTAGTAGGAGACATATCAAAAGCTCGACGATGGGAAGTGGTGATCATGTCTAGTCAGTTTGATTGGACACTTGCGTAGGCAGTCAAAGCTCATCGACGAAATGAAGTCTATCTACCTGAAAACGTCAATCGCACGCTGGCACGCCATGTATTCGGCTACGTCTTGGTCGGAGCAACACCGCCACGCCATCAAAGCTCATTTTATCAAATTTCCGCAAGCAACGCGTGGTGAATTACTAACGCCGCAACCGCGATGATTACCAAGTCTATTCACACAGTTGTGATGCGATTGCAAGGCCAATGGTTCACGCCCAGTCAACATGAGTTCCAAGTACATCAGCTTAACGTCGACTTGATGATGATGATCAGTGACTTCACAAATCATGCTGACCTGGACCCAACCACCAACGTTGTTCGCGAGCGCTGGTCTGCGTTGTTGATTGAAATCATTGGGTTTCTGCACGACCTTGACCATTACTACATGATCACCCTAAAAAGCCTAGATGATACTACGCGTGATGACTTGCTTTAGAATGTGGTCTTCTTTATTTTTGACATTTTAGAAGGGTTCACAAACTACATTGCACTTTGGGACAACAATAATGACGGGACGGACATCGCCATTCCGCCGGCGTACTTGTTTGAGCCGGTCAAACTCAAAGGCTGCAGCATTGCTCAGCTCGTCAATAAACATCGAAAACGGTTAGAAGTTTTGTGGATCCTTGCAGAAATTGACACAATCGGCTCGGAGTTTAGTGAGAATCTAGCTAAATACAACCGCGACCATAATTTCATGATGGTGATTGACAGAATTGACTACAGCAGTTTGTTTAATGAGGCGTGGGCCCTATCTTGTTTAAGCAGTTTGAGCAGCTGTGCCGGTTTGTGGGTGGGTTTGTTTCACCATTTCCGAACACGGCTCCTATGGAAAGCGACTTTTCGCATTTAAAATTACGCAAAGACGTCTTGAATAAAAGCCTAAGGAACTTTTCTCTGGAGGCATTTCTCCAATGCAAGCAGCAGGACATGCTCGTTGCCAAAATGTAGCATATCTTGTCTTGCTCGCACAAGTACATAACAAAACTCCTAGAAAAATAAAATTTTGATAGACACTTAATCAATGTCTAATTTTTAAATTTTTTTTGCCTAATTTGGTTAAGATTAGGCATATTAGACATTTGCCTAATCTATAGAGTACTACTTATCAGTACATATAAAGAGTGTTGAGACATTGTACCTCACTCTCGTCAACACTAGTTGCATCTAGTCTTTCGATATTAATACTACTTAATTCCAACGTCTAACCGAGTGTTAATACTTTCAGATTTCTTGCTTCATATGTCATATTTTCCAAAAGTTTTCGCTTTGAGAGTTACTACTTCTAGTTTTGGAGCTTCATATGATATATTAAGTCTTGAGATATTAGCCATACAAAGAGTACAATGCGTTAAAATGTATTAGATCAAGTCAAGTTAAGGCTTACATTAGTATTAATTGTTCTTGAAACTCAAAATCATATTGCAACAAAACTTGATCAGATAGTACAATAATTCTTACATTAATATAAAAATCACTATCGCAGAAATGGAACAGAGGAACTAATTGCAGCAAAATAGTAATTTCATTTGCACATAATGAGAGATGAATTTAATATATATCTGTGTTTTGGGCCGAACCAATGCTTAAACCCTTAAGCTGCAAGACGGCTAACACTAAGGTGATGGCTACTTTTAAATGATAGTCCGATAAAGATGTAAGGAAAGAAAAACTTACTACGAAGGTGATGGCTAATTTCATAATAAAAAATTTCTGAAATTAGTTATTATTTTCATCACTTCTAATGGAAGATTCATACTACATAAGAAGAATTTTACTACAATTTTGTGAGGAGCCAAAATGATACTATTTTTCATTATGTTCTTGTAATTAAATGAGTTCTTGTGTCTTCATAAAAAAGAAGAAGAAGGCATACGATGCAATATCCATTATATGATAAATGCAATACAGAGGATTGTAAAATATTATTTTTATTTTTTTTATTTTTTTAATTTATTTTTATTGTATAATATTTTTAATCTGATTAAAAACCGGTAGTATGAATTCATGCAAGCTTTAAAATAAGGGTATTGTGTGGAACTGTACAACTAGTGCGAGTTGTATGACGAAGAATAGTGCCTTTGTAAATTAATCATAAAAATTTGGAGGTAAGCCGTTTTCCGACAAATTCTTACGGAAAGGCTAGCTTGTCCCGCTTCATTGAGTTGTCGCTGAAAATTTCCACAAACATCAATTTTCAAGTATGAAACCAGAGTAACTTTCTACATTGATGCCGCAAATAAATTCGTAAATTTCTATCCGTAATCCTACTTCTCCAACCGTATTTTCTCATATATACGAATGACAGTCCGAAGTCAAAATTTGTCCAGGAGTCAGTCACTGAGTCTGCACTGGGTTTGTGAACATAGTATTGCAGATCTCGGGCATCAATAAACCCTAAACCCGAAGCCATTATTTATGATCCCACTACATAAAGCAACCTGATGGAATTATTATTAACATTGGTCGGGACTTTGTAGCTCATTCAAACGAAATGTTTTAGTTCGGATGGCAGTTGAAATGCCTCCAGTAATCTGGCTACAAGGCCGATGACATCTATACACTGCAGTTCATGTTCTTGGCCAGCAACAATTGTTCGATCAGAATCGACTGAAACACTGAGAAAAGTTGCCAAGTTGCACAATTTGCGGGAAAGAACCTCATCATTGAGTTCTCATGTAGATAGCGCGATGATGGCAGGTCCCAAGTATTCCACATCCCTATTTTCAGGGGTCGAAAGATTTTGGGCCAGATTGATTCGTAATTGAAGGACGGCCGGTCTCATCCTTGTACGGCTCGATGGGAACACTCCCATGCGTCTTTAATATGAATTATTTTCTTTCCTTGGAGATAGCGCTTGATATCATTCATGTCAAAATTCGCCACGTATCAGCTTACTGCAACTCTCGTACTGTTCAACACCTTCACTTTTTGCCATATGTCGGACTCCGATTCGTTGTGATACCATGTGGAATCGGATAAGGCATTTTCTTTTAGTACATCACATGCGACGTAGAAACACATTCAATAATAAACGTTTTACCAAACTGTATGACGAATTGTATTCTAGCATAACACAAGACACCTTTGTAGGTCTTGCAATAATATATTTTTATATTATATGCCAAATGCTGTAAAGACCTCATCCAAAATATTAAATTTTTTTGAAAAAATGGTAAATATTTACTATAAATTCCAAATATTGGATTTTCTAACTTGTATGATAAAAAATTACATGATATTATGGACTATTTTACATTGATCAATATAATGATGAATGAAAGAAAATTCAATTATCCTTCATGTTACATTCAATTAAATATAAATTGATTAAGAAGTGAGATCTGTGATTGATCATAAAGAAACAAAATATTCTTGATATGATTGCACACGTTTTGGCACCGTGTGCAATTTATGACTTAAATTGATTGACAATTTGAGATGCCCATTGGTTATCACGTGTAATCAAGATTTTGAATGGTTGGAAACAAGCAAAAATAATGATGTCCAACACTGTGAGGAGGAGATATAATTAGTATAAATTCAAGAATATCTAGCCACTCTCATGAATAATGCTATGTCTATAGCGTCCATTGACATTATGTTTACAAGTATGATGTACACTTTATCTCAGAGATATGTCAAAATTCTCATCTATATCGTAATATAAACTCTATTGCTTTGGAAAATAAATGATCTTTCTAACTACTTCCATGCCGGATTAACTTTGGTATTATCATCACCCTCATCTCTCATTCAACAAGATGTATTTTAGTATTGACAATTGTTTGTATGAAGTATAGAATCTCACATTGTAAATATGTAAATGAGATTGTGTATTATCATAATTTTTTCATTTTATGTCATCACATGAACACTTCATGCATATCAAGAATCAAAGTATTTCTAATTTGACATAAGAAAAATTGAATGATATTATATTATATGCTCATTCGTTTTTAGAAGTTCCAATGTGTCTATATGCGATCATAAAATGAAACATTTAGAAAAATATAAAGTCTACAATTGACCAACAATGTCAATACTATTATATACTACACCATTAATTACTCCATTTCACACATGATTTGCAAAAAAATCGTTTGTATTTTGAAAGTATAATAAAAATAAAAAACATTTTAATCTTAAAACATAAATTTTTTGTTCAATCATTCAACTCATGTTTTTCAACTCCAATTAATGTAGCTATAATAATACTATAACTATATAAGAGGTATGAATGTAACTTTTGTGACACAATCTTGAGATTTAGAATAACTTTTTCCAATGTCTGAGTATACCTAGCATTGTAGAGTAAGACTAAGTACACTTTTGTGTTCTCTTTATATGCATGTTTATCACTATGTTATCCAACAATGATTTATATTTGTTAACTCTTGGTTTGTCATAAATTGATTCTAAATTAATTATTTTTATTTTTATTTTAATTAATTTATTTCAATAAAAAAAATTTCATTTACAAAAAAATTTTGGACTGTGTAAAATTTTTTTAAATGAAAAAATTAACATATAATTATCTAAAAAAATTCATCAAAAATGTTCATCTTTATATATATATATATAAGAGTATATTTTAAGCATATTATTCTTCATTAAATTCGTCATATAATTATATTTTCTACCTCAATAAATGAATTCATTTAGTAGATACTATAATATTTTAATGATTTACTATGAAAAAGTTATATTAAATTGAATACTTAAATTTATTTAGTCTTTGAATTTCTTATGATCACTTTTTACATAAGTAATATAGATATAAATTATTTACATCCATCAACATGAGCTTTATAAAATGAATTCAGGAGATAAAAAAAACTCTTACTGTATGTCTATGTATAAAACATCCATATTACAACTATTTAGTTAAATCGAATCATGTGGAGTAAATGACTCAATAGAATAAAATTATAACACAATATCAATAGAAAATATTTAGAAATAACAATAATATATAAATTTATTTTTTGATATTTTAAAATATTTTGAAATTGTTATTATTTGCAAATGTTAAAACTTGGCAACTTTTTGTTGTTACATTTTTTTAGCATTACTTTCTTCTACAAAGTTTGATTGTAACTTAAACCTTAGGCACATAACGAACTTAATGCTATCTAGAAGTGCACATTAACAGCATAGAATGTATAGAAAATGGTATATAATACACATTATCATGATAAATTTTGTCATAATAAGCATATTTGAGATAGAATCTGGAATACCATTCTTTCGAGACGTTGTTTATGATATGAGAATTTCATAACTGCTGTAAGATTCTTCACTCGGAATAATTTCAGAGTGAGAATCATTTTGCAACTTATTCCAATAGATCTGTGTAAATTACATATGTACATTTCAAGAAATCTGTAACCGAATTCAATAAGTTGGTAGGTTTCTACATATATGCCATCAATAATTAGCCGCCCATAACGTTATATGGGCTCGGACTTAGATCCAAATCTGTATAAGTGATCTTTCAGTTGTTATTTTACTTCTTGATGTATAATGTTAGATAGACTTTCAACGTATTCTGATTATCAGGTAAGACCCTTTGAATGTAAAAATCTTTATTTTCGAGAACTTAAATAAATGATTGCTACGTGAACCATTTCCTCCACAAAATAGAACGATGAACCGATGAGGGCAGTACGTACCTAGTGTGTCAATCTCGTTATTTTACTGACCGACATTGCAGAAATAAAATCATCTGCAAAGAGGAATCAAAGCGTCAAGCTGGACAAGTAATGTTCGTGCTTCAGTGAAATAAGACGAATGCATTTGATGGAGCCCAATCGATTCGAAGTTGGCCTCCGTGGAGTGCAACACGAGGACGGTATATGGCGAGAGGGTCCATTAAGCTGCTGCTGCTGCTGCTGTGTAATGCTTTAATAAATCGTCGCTAAATTCTCCGTCGATCATGCACGAGCCAATTCCACGACCACTCACGATGCCGTCAGTCGATTACAGCGTTAGCATGGTGTTGCCAGGAGAGAGCGATGCGAGTCTGCAATTCACGAGCCAAGAATCATGGCGCCCCGTGGAGAAGGAAGAGTCGATGGCAGAGTGTTGCAGCGGAGCTACATTGATCGATGCGCAAGCACAGACTTACTCACCCAGTTTTTGGTTCGAGAGATTCCGAGCGCTAGCCGACACGAAAGCAGGACACATAGCGGGGAAATTCTCGGACTCGCTAAACCAAGAACACGCATGTGTCCGACGAATTTCTCTCATGAAAGTTGGGAGTGCAAGAGTGGCGATGGTGAACGAAATGAAGTCCTGCAGTTCTTGATTCGGGATGCGAATGGGTAGTGGGACTCATGATGCAGAGAATAACCCGAGGTTCAAGTACTTGATGCACTCCCCATTGAATACGATGATGAATGACCAGGTGGTGGCAGGTGACATCGAGGGCCTGACTTTGTGTTCGTCTTGTCATCCGATTGGTATCATTATTGTGGAATCTGCACCAATGATCCATGATGGTGTTTTGTTGGCTGTGGTATGCCACGCTTGGGTTTCATGCGCGACGGTACACGAGGAATGTCCGTGCAATAAAGGAGACAAAATGACTGGTTTTACAAAGGGCCATGGAGAAGTGACTTTCTTTGAACGAGTTAGCGGCGGAGTATTGAGCGAAGAGATTATCGGCATCGTTGAAACCGAAAGCACCGTCTGGTATTATAATATAATGGGAAATCGAAGGTTGACCTGTTTGCTTTTGTAAGAAGACCACGAGCAGGTGCAGAAGTAGGAAGCGAAGTGGTAGCTGGTGGGTAGTTGCAAAACATCTGGAGATCAATACAAGCTAAAGTCAATCGTGGCAGAGTTTCGAGCTTCTGATCTCCCTTCCTTCAAAGGCACGCGTCGTCTTGCCTTTCAATAATACGATCAGCCATCGGGTTGAATGAAACCGACAATTTCTATCAAGGCGAGATTGTTCTGACCAGTCCTCATTTATGTGTTGAAAGTCAATAGCAATCATGAATTGTTTGAGTAATCGGAGATATTAAACAACACAAAGCCCACACCAACTTAGATGGAAAGACCGTGAGAGCAGTTCTGGTGCCAGCTTCTCGAACATTTCGGGTATCTCTCTTTGTAGGTGCCCAACAACCAAACTACTCGACAAATAATCGTCACTTTCAAACACACTCATCCACACGAGCTTCCGGCCGGATGCCTTATGTACTCCCCATCCTTCAAGTTCTCAGCTCGCAACTGCCTCCTCCATGAATCAGAGTGAAGTGAGTGGAATGAAGCTGACTATCTACGTACGTGAGAACAATCATCAAAATTCATTGCAAGACACCAAAGTTACGTAAGACTCCGGATCCGAGGGACATTGCTCAGGGTTTCACTTGAATTTCAAGGTTTTGAATTGCGGTAGGAGATACACGATACTACAAAGTAATAAGCGATGAGAAATCATCTCTGCACGCCGATTTCTTACTGTTAATAGAAATCGTTGAGTGGTTGCTTGATTTCAATCAAGTGCAGCAACTATGGCAGCTCCTACGGGGATGGAAAGCTTGCCCTCCGTGGGGAGAGGCCGACGAAGTGGGAGCATGAGGGATTGGGTGCGACCAGACGATGCCTTTGCAATAGCATCACAGGCCAGGAGAGGGGACGACGAAACTGATGAAGAGGCTTTGCAATGGGCAGCACTGGAGAAGTTGTCAACATATGACCGGATGAGAACAACCATCTTCGAGAACTTGAAAGGAAGCAAAAAAGAGCTTCTGCAGTTAGAACTCAAAGACATGAGTAGGGCCCAGAATCAGTACCTCATTCAGAAGCTATTTCAGATGAACCCAGAGGAGGATAATGAGAAGTTTCTCGCCAAGCTAAGATCCCGCATCGACCGGTACATGTCTTCCTTTTGAATTTTCTTCCTCTAATTTGTTGGCAACTAAAAGTTTTTTTCCCAAGGAAATTACTCGTGTGTCATGTAATCTGACTCAGCTGATGAACATTAATTGATCCCTCACGGTAATGCGCCCTGGTGAAGTCCTCCGCCCTTGAAAGGAGCAGCATATTCTGAATCCTACGAACAAGGAGATGTGATTCATCATGATATGTAGTTTTCAGCTTACGTCCTTTCATTCTGGACTCAACAACATTTTGAATATTCCCAAAATGATTTTGTACAGAGTGAGCATTGACCTGCCCAAAGTTGAGGTCCGATACGAAAATTTAACAGTAGACGCAGACGTTCAAGTGGGTACTCGAGCACTTCCCACGCTCACGAACACCATGCTGAGCATCGCAGAGGTGAGTTTTCTCCATTTCAAGATACCTTTTTCATGTTATTGAATTGGTGAGTTCAATGTATTGGTTAATTGTTTTGATGAACTTTGTTTCATTTTTGTAGATGATACTTGAAACCCTCAGGATCATGCGACGGAAGAAGACAAAGCTAGAGATTCTAGAAAATGTGTCCGGCATCCTAAAGCCAGGAAGGTAATCGGTCAGGATATAACCTCCTCATTGAGTTGCCAGCTTCTGAAGTTGCTCTTTGGTCCTAGAATTCCATACAGCATATGGTGCTTGCACGAATTCTAAATACAAAACTGAATATGTGGTTCCTCTGTCAGGATGACGCTGCTGCTTGGCCCGCCAGGTAGTGGTAAAACCACTCTTCTTCTTGCTCTTGCTGGGCAGTTGGACACTAAGCTCAGAGTGAGAACTCAGACACTACATCATCTATGGTTATCTTCTCTGTTTCCGGCAATCTGAAGTGAAGCTTTATATACTTCTAAAGCTGGCATGTTCTAAGTATCTAACTATCAAATTTAATGGAGAGACTGAGACAGCGACTTTGGTTCGTTTCTGCAGACCTCGGGGACCATTACATATAATGGACATACTCTGAGCGAATTCAAGCCCAGGAAGACGGCCGCATATATAAGCCAGACGGACTTGCATAGTCCAGAGTTGACTGTTAGGGAGACTCTCCAATACTCAGCCCGTTTTCAGGGAATAGGTTCTCGCTACGGTACGAGGGTGGTATCTGCTAATACAGTATTACAGCTATTGGTTTCTTCTCACTTTGGATGTACATAGTGTGCAACCTCTTCGAGGTTGCCAGATGTCTGAATTTACAGGATACTTTAATGTCTAGTTTCTCACAACTTGCAGCTTGTTCCTGTTCTACTCTCATCAGAACTCTTGACTGAACTTGTTAAAAGAGAGAAGGAGCTCGGTATACATCCCGAGCCAGATGTTGATGCCTTCATGAAGGTAAATTTGTGAATCGTCAGCGTTCTCTGCTTTTTAAACTAAATGAACAGTTCTTTGGGGCAAGCTTATTACTTATTAGTTCCAAACGCGCATAGGATATTCCTGCATTTTAAGCAAGGCTGCTAACAATCGGTCTTAATCTGTGAAGGGAGTGTCGACGTCAGAAGTTTCTTATGATCTTGTCACCGAATACATCATGAAGGTGAGATTTGATGCGCAAGAATCATTCCAGTATGTTCTCCTCCACGACGTGAAAATTTGGTTATTTGAAGCACATCAGGCTCCAACCATTGATTCCTGATGTGATGCATCCAAGCTCCTGTTAATACCAACGAGTTTGTGCTGTGCAGATTCTGGGTCTGGATATTTGCGCAGACACTTTGGTGGGGGATCAGATTGTTAGAGGAATCTCAGGAGGTCAAAAGAAACGAGTAACAACAGGTAGACTAGTGAAATTAACTACACTGCACTTCCGTGAGACATCTTCTTCACCCCGAGGATTAATGAGGTTCATGTGATGATCGCAGGAGAGATGCTCGTGGGACCGATGAAAACTCTATTCATGGACGAAATTTCAACTGGTCTCGACAGCTCTACAACATACCAAATCATAAAATGCCTCGGCCAGTTCGCCCACGTAATCGAATCAACAATCTTCATCTCTCTCCTACAGCCTGCTCCAGAAACTTACGAATTGTTCGATGACCTCGTTTTGATTTCGGACGGAAAACTAGTTTACCACGGTCCCCGTGATAGCGTCCTTGAATTCCTGGAAACCTGTGGATTCCGCTGCCCTGAACGTAAAGGCGTCGCCGATTTCTTGCAAGAGGTTTGTAAGATAATTTATAGTCTGATTGACTGCGTGCTGGCCGAACTATTTCTACGGTGGAAAAAAAAATTCCAGATCTTGCACTGCTTGTGGATATCTGACGAACATTATCGTGGCCTTTTACCTATCCTACAGGTCACCTCTCGCAAGGATCAGGAACAGTACTGGATAGATAAATCGAAGCCGTATAGGTTCGTCACAGTTGGTGAGTTCAGCGAAGCTTACAAGAGATTTCACGTTGGTCAAGCGATGGCAGAAGAACTGAAAATCCCTTACGACAAGAGTAAGAGTCACAAAGCGGCCCTGATATTTTCTCAATGGTCTATGCCCAAGTGGGACCTTCTCAAAGTGATGTTCGACAGGGAGGTGACACTTCTGAAAAGGAGCTCATTCATCTACATCTTCAAGAGCTCTCAACTAGCTTTGCAGGCTTTGATAGCCACGAGTGCGTTCTTCCGCACCAGGATGCACCACAGGACTGTGAATGATGCTCAGATCATGTCTGGAGCCCTGTTTTTCAGCATCGTCAGCGTCATGTTCAATGGGTTCGCTGAAACGACCATGATTGTTACCCGACTGCCCGTTTTTTACAAGCAGCGGAGCATGAGATTCTTTCCCGCATGGACCTTCTCCGTGTCCACTTTCATCCTTCGACTTCCCTTCGCTGTGATAGAGACAAGCGTCTGGGTCTGCATCGTCTACTATACGATCGGGATGGCTCCTAATGTTGGCAGGTACGGTGGGGATTATGCCGTGTTTCACTACACCTGTTCAATGGAACCAGAACAGCAAATTCAATAACCGACGAAGTTCCTCATTTGTGTGTGTTTTTGCAGATTCTTCCGTCAACTGGTTTTTGTCATTTTTGCTCACATTATGGCTTCGAGTATGTTTAGAATGATAGCGGGGTTAACGCAAACTCTGGTTATTGCGAACTCATTGGGATCGCTGACACTCCTACTAGTGTTTGTCCTTGGAGGATTCGTTCTCCCAAGGACCTCCATCAAAGATTGGTGGATTTGGGGCTACTATATCTCCCCCTTATCATATGCTCTAAACGGAGTCGCTGTCAATGAATTTCTCGCCCCTCAGTGGAGGAAGGTAGGCAGAACCGGAATCCACTACTTTTCTCTTTTCCATCATGTGTTCTTGTGTTCTGAATATGCATCAGATGAATGCTCTTTCCCGGTAAATTCTAAGTATTGACTATTCTCATCATGTCCATGCAGCCAAGTGGAATTCCTGGAGACAATCACACTTTGGGTAGGAAGTACTTGAAGAATGCTGGTCTATTCGCGCGGGGATACTGGTATTATCTGGCAGCTGGAGTGATGATCATCGATTCCCTTATATTCACTGCTGTGTTCACCTGGGCCATTACGTACCTCCGAGGTTAAATTTCAGCCAGCCATGTCGAATATACTGCAAGCTGCTAAGGACAAACGTGGTTCAGTAGAATTTGCAAACTAAAAGTTTGGATGATGATGTGATGATGGACTTCGATTGTCGCTATTCTTTTTGAAGCTAGTATATATGTTAAGAAAGTAATGCGCAGTTTGTTACTTCTTAACGCCTCGATTGGTTGCATCCATCCATAACGATGCAGCTCCTGGCAGCAGAAGTGTCGGAATGTCACCAGAGACTTTGGCAGAAAGGGAGGCAAATCGTACAGGCAAATCGCTACACATTGAATCACTCAGTAAAAGACCCACCTTGTTGCCGATTAAAGTGGTGAAATCGATGATTCCTCGATCTCTGAACGGAAACACAGGTTCGTGAATGATGAACCTGATCCTGATAACAACTTTACTCTTACTATGTCATAACTAGAATGCTCTTGAAAGCTAGTAGAATAGACCATCAAAGTTGGCTTGCTATTGTCAAAATATCCTGTTGATCAGACTATTGAGAACGCAAGGACGCCGGCTGGGATTGATTCAAGTGGTAAAACGTTACTGTAGGCTCGAAAAATAAATCACACACAAGTACAGAAATAACCTCTGAGGATGGAGGAAATGAATCGAGCAGAAGTGGAGCTGGTGAAGTCCAATTGTCGCAGCAGCCGAGTTCAAATGAGGCCAGTACCTCGGCATCGGGAGAGATTGTTCCTAGCTCTAAAGTCGTCTCTAAGAAGGGCATGGTGTTGCCTTTTCAACCTTACGCAATCAGCTTCAGCGGTGTCAATTACTACGTTGACATGCCTCCGGTAGTCCCTCACTCTGACTGACTCTTTTCGAACGTGGATGAGAGAATTCTGTTATGATCGAAGGAGCAATAATACTCATCCGTTGTGACTACTTCATTAGAGCTTTGATTACTAGAGCGTATCGATTGTTCCTAGATTTAGAGGTCTAAAGAGGCGTGGACACGATGTCAATTTTGCTGCAGGCCATGAGAGAGGCGACAGGAGAAGAATCAGGATCGAAGCTGCAGCTACTTCAAGACATTACTGGGGCTTTCAGGCCTGGAGTTTTGACAGCTCTTATGGGAGTTACTGGCGCTGGGAAAAGCACACTCATGGATGTACTGGCGGGCCGGAAGACTAAGGGCATTATTGAAGGTGATATTAGAATTTCCGGGTTTGCGAAAAAGCATGAGACATTTGCTAGAATTGCAGGATATTGCGAGCAGAATGATATCCACTCACCTCAGGTGACCGTCAAAGAGTCACTGATCTTCTCCGCCTGGTTGCGACTGAGCCGTGACGTTGAACCCGACACCAAAATGGTACGTATTTAAAATTTCTCATTCAGTCAAAGATGCAGATAGCTCTAATGCTATTCGAGAAATTGTGCAATGCATGGAGGTGGAATACAATGTCGAGCCTCTAAATTGAATTCACGATTGTTGCAGCAATTTGTGCAAGAGGTGATGGATCTGGTGGAGCTAGCTACATTGAAAGACGCATTAGTGGGTCTCCCTGGACAATCTGGATTGTCCACTGAGCAACGGAAAAGGCTAACTATTGCAGTAGAACTGGTGGCTAACCCGTCCATCATCTTCATGGACGAGCCAACTTCTGGGCTTGATGCAAGGGCAGCAGCGATTGTCATGAGGACTGTCAGAAACACCGTTGACACTGGTCGAACTGTGGTTTGCACCATCCATCAACCCAGCATTGACAACTTTGAGGCGTTCGATGAGGTACGTGTTACAAAGTCACATTGTTTAGCAACCTCAGACGTAAGACGCCTGAACTGAACAGTCCAAAGCGCAAATTCCGCTTTCATATCGGTAAGAATGCCGATTTAGTTATACTGGACACGCGTTGTTCGGGTCGATAGTTCGATTCAAGGATTGTAACCATCGAGTTGCTCTCTTTGTCTATACAGCTGCTTCTGTTGAAACGCGGCGGTCAGGTGGTCTACGCGGGTCCTCTGGGGAGGAACTCTTGCTCACTTGTGGAATACTTCGAGGTATGATATTTCTATTAGCAAATGTTTTAGATAACAAATTACTGGTCCTTGTCAATATGGTCCAAATTCACGCAGTCTATCACAAAACACCTCTTGCTTGTTTGTCGATTTTTTTTTTCCAGGCTATTCCAGGTGTCCCAAAAATTAAAGATGGGTACAATCCAGCTGCTTGGATGCTGGAGGTGACGAGCCAAGGGACGGAAAACAAACTTAACGTGAATTTCTTCGAAATATATAAGAACTCTGCTCTATTCGAGTAAGAATCTCCCATCGTTATATTTCCGACCCTACTCGTTAACTGTCCTTCTCATAGCCAGTTGTGAGCTGTGCTTGTCGTAGATTTGACATTAACGTTGGACATGATAACTCAAATCAGCCCCTGATTGCGGCCATCTTTGTTGAATATATTCCTGTCCAGGCGCAACAAGGCTTTAGTGTCCGAACTCAGCACTCCTGCACCTAACACAGAAGACATTTACTTCTCTGAGAAGTTCTCTCAGCCTTTCTTGGTGCAGTTAAAATACTGCTTATTGAAGAAGCATTGGACATATTGGCGCAGTCCAGATTACAACATTCTTCGATTTGCACTCGCTTTTTTTTCGGCTCTGTTTTTTGGGTCAATGTTTTGGAGAGTAGGACATCACACGTAAGTTTCCATCATCGAATCATTGCTTCCATGCACTTATAAATCCATCATTTGCTCTTATAACTTGCATCTGTTCGAAGCAGAAATAGAAGAGCAGAACACCGATCTGATCTAGTCAGTCGTGAAGTAAGAATGCTAGTTAAGACCTGTGATTTGCGCTAGGCATGGAGACCTCTCGCCTTGGTCCTGTGATTTGAGCATTTGGAAAGTCCCGTCCTGATATACATTTCTCGTTGCATTATAGGAATTCGCAAGCGAGTCTGTTCTCCATCATGGGATCTATCTATGCTTCACAGCTCTTCATCGGAGTGCAATTTTCCTCATCAGTTCAACCACTCGTTGCCACAGAACGCACGGTTTTCTACAGAGAAAAAACTGCTGGAATGTACTCTGAAATACCTTACGCTCTTGCCCAGGTAAGCTCAAATTTGAAAGATGAGAAGTAAACGCAAAGACGCGAAATTATTTTTTTGGCAACTTGCACGGTGGATGAAATTTCTGACCTTTGAAAATTCGCATTATAGGTTTATCTTGGACGGTAGGGACTGACCCTTAAGAATTTCGCTTGTCATTGCAGATGATGATTGAAGTCCCTTATATCTTCGCCACAGCTTCTATGTATGCTCTCATCACGTACGCTATGATGAACTTGCAATGGCAAGCTGACAAGTTCTTCTGGTACCTGTACTTTCTGTTTATGACCCAACTATATTTTACCTTCTATGGAATCACGGCCGTTGCTCTTTCTCCGAACAGCTTAATTGCAGCCGTCGTTTCTGGTTTCTTCTACAATATTTGGAATCTTTTCGCTGGCTTCATCATTCCAAAACCTGTAAGTGCTTTTATAAAGTGTCTTGTTTCTAAATGTCGAAATTCCAATTTTGGCCGCTATTTAAAGTCTAGAGCACGAGTACGTGATTGTCCCGGAATCATGGGGCAACAAATAGCTGGTTCCGAGGAATCTATTGACCACCCGCATATGTAAAGGATGATATCTTTGAGAAATATGAAGATACTGCCGATGAATACCTACTGACTGAATTGTTCGGACGATCGTCTTTCGTACAGAAACTTCCAGTCTGGTGGAGATGGTTCTACTGGGTAAATCCGATCGCGTACACTCTCTATGGCTGCATCGCATCGCAATTTGGAGATATGGACGACAAGTACGTGATATCCGCTGAGGGCGATCGATCGACAGTGAAGCAATTTGTAGAGCACCACTTTGGGTTCAAGCACAGTTTCCTACCCTTCATCTCTCTAATGATGTTGGGTTTCGTTGCAATGTTCGCTGTCATCACAATCTTCGCCATGAAGTTCCTCAACTATCAATCCCGGTGATCTCCGTGATCGCAGAAATTTTGGACTCGTAATTTCCCTGACGATGTAAACAACTATATTTGAATGATCAACGTGCTGCAAATTTTAGCGCTGCTATCGATATCCTTCATCACTACGGACCAAGCTAAGAAAGAGAAGACCAAATTTTATATTTGGCAGAGTCAGGTACTCTGCAGCTATCGTCGTACCCATTGATGAGCAGGAAGGCACGCAGTTGCGCGGGCAGGCTTCGTGAGTAAGACGACAAGCAATCACATGAGTTATGGGTGAAAGCGAACAACCCTAACCAACGAGCAGATGTCAAGTCGAAGAAGATTCATTGGCTTCTGATATGAACCTCCGAGCAGAGTGTTTTCAGATTGGAAATAAGCTACAACAGCTTTGTGGGTAACAGAATCATGTACCTGCAAGATCACTTCTGTCTCTTTACTGCAGAATAGTTCTGCCGTGAAGCAGATGTGGAAAGCCCTCACTCGTTTCTTCTGGAAATTGTAAATTTTCCAGAAAGGAATGAGAATTGTAAATTCTCATGGGCTCTTGGGTTTCCAAGGGCAATAATTTTCTTCTAGTTAACAGTGGTTGATGCATTTTCGTGATTTCATCATTATGTTTGATTACTGAATTATAGTGATTATATTTGTGCCTCCGCTCATATCCACCAAATTAAGTCCAGATTTAGTAGCACGGAAGACCTTTCCCTGCTAACTATACAGGTAGCCTTCTGCCCATGATTCGAATGGCCAACGATAAAACTACTATTGCTGAAAGGGCTGACGCTTGCATTCGCTGGATAGCCAGTTCCATATACTGAAAGAGAAGTTTATTTAAGTTCATTTAGTATGGAGTTTGGCATAGTAGGGCAATTCCCTGCAGCACCCAAAAGTCAGGGGTTGTGTCCGGATCAATTGTGAGGCTAACATTGAGAATGTAATTGGACGAGGCACCGGTTGTAGTGAGCACTCCTGCTCGCACATGAGTTTTATATAATGGACACTGGTACTCGTTGGTAGGTGGTTTGTAGTTCACAATGGGAGTGAAATGCACCACTGGCAATGGTGAGTATATTTCACCTGTACAAGCAGAAATTTCATGAAAGTGTCAGGCTATGAACAACACAAGTTCAAGAGAGATCAAGTGCCGCTTTTAACCTGAGTGATAGTGTTCTGATATCAAGAGCATAAATAAATGCGTCTCAGTGCAAGGTCAAGCTACGTCCCCTTGAAAAGAAATATACACCAGAACTTACCAGGTAAAGCTTCCACCAAACACTTATGTTTGCGATCCCAACGTGCACCATCCAAGTAGAGACCACTGATGTACAGACCATCTTCCGGTGCTTGTTTGACATCGGAACCAGTTTCATATTCCATTACCTTGAAACCAAAATTCAGAGTATCAATGGGAATTTGATACTTCCTTGCATGATTCTGGAGCGCACCCGTCATAAATCCCTGTTGCACCAAACGCAGAGCTTGAATCAAACTTTCTCCGATAGGATCGCAAGATGCTCTCAAGAAACTAGGTCCAGAATCCATCAATATGCTACTGCCATGTTATCCAAATTCTGCCAACTAATCTTCTAAGAGTGACCCATGCGCGCAAGGTTTAGCATCCTCCTCGGAGTAGATCTCGCAAAGCCTGAAGAAGGTAGAAGAGAAGAGCAGTGGAATGGACTCTAGGCGAGAAGATGGTACAATCGGTAATGTCCAAAAGATCATATTGCGGAAATTTATAAATATGAATAAATCTATGAAATTTAATAAGATTTATGCATATATATAAATAAATGTTTGCTTTTGTTTTCCTTCTCTGGGAAACAGTAGAGTGTTCTCCAGCGATAGTCCTGAATCAGCGCTTCCTCACTATCACGTTTCTTCAGTTGAGAGAACTTGTGTTGGACTATACAGTCGTACCAGTAAAAGTCAAGTCTTCCACCGAAGGATGTTCTACAAAGGATGTCAAACTTTTTGAGGCTGAGTATGCTAGGATGTCAATGAATGAATTCCATTATCAGGAGTACATTCGGATGCAGTGCGAAGGAAACCTGACATACCTGTGGGAAGAAGAAGCCCGGAAGCCAAAAGCACAGTGGATTGCCATCATGAATCCATACTCTCATGAATTCCATTCTCTTCTGGTGGTCAAGAATCCAGGAAGAAAGGGGCTTGAGGGATGGGTAAGCCACAGCATTCCATAGCTCAGGGACTTTGTTGGCAATGAAGTTGTTGAACATGGCTTCCAGCTCCGCAGACATGACAACGAGACCTTTGATTGCTCGCTGTAGCTCCACTAATGTTGACCTCATTACCTTGATAAGCCTATTAAACCTCTCAGATTCCTAAGCATAGAACACAGTCGTGTCAAAACCAAAGGGCACATCTGAGCGCAGCGATTTCGAACTACTATCTTCAGGCTAGCCAGTAACTTGTACAATAAGATTCCAGGGAACACAAAAGTATGGCTTCGGTGTCAAAATCTCAAGAGAAGCATAACAATGTGATTTGATATGTTAAAATCCACATATTCTTACAGTACCTGCTGCAAGACTACCAGCAAGGAATTCACTTGTCCAGTAGGTCCGAACTCTGGTATGTGTTCTGTGGCTTCCTCGGGTCTTAAAGGAACGGGTAGGCCTTCCAGCAACTTGGCTGCTAACTCCAGAATAGTTACTCCAACATTTTTTCCAGCTCCACCAGTACTAGCTTTCGGCTGTATGCTAGCAACGACAGTCAAGATCTTGTTGCTTTCTTGGTGTTGGAACGTAAGATTTGCATTCTCGTGCATTCCAAACAAATCTGGGCCCTCCGCTGTTGGGAATGACTTGATGTACTCGACGTAGCTGCCATGTTCACCTTCTGGAGGGGATTTGTAAAGTCCAGTGCTCGTGAAAGTGTATGTGTCGGACAACACAGCGGGGTCATAGTAGAGTTTCAAAGTGCTCATAAGGCATCGTCTGTCCAGATCATCCGTGACTCGTCCTCCATAATTAATTTCACCTGGCACAGATTCGAACATGTCCTTCATGTGTGATAGAATTCTTTTCAGCCTCGAGATAAAACACTGTGACTTGATCTCCTAAGCTGTAAGGACTGATATCTTGACTCTTTCAAAATTTCAGAAAGTTTGCTCAATGCTGGAGTAGTGAGGTGACTTCTCTCCTCTTTCTTAAAAAATGACAAAAAGAGCCACATGTAGCTTTTGTCCATTTTGCTGGGCTGTATCACTTGGGGCTTTAGTAACTATGAAGTGGTACCTGTAACGTATAATAAAGCTGGCCATGGTATATCAGGTTGCTCTTCTAGAAACATAATGAGTGTTTGAAGAGCGCACTCAAGGTCGCTGCTGTTGAAGTCGTACTTCACATTCCATCCCAATGGTCCAAACTTTCTTCGTTCTTGGATAACTGTTTACGATTACGTCAGTCCCTTGTTACAAGTATCTCGACGAGGCCAGAGATGTTTTGATCGTGAAAGGACTTTACTTCTTTTCAATTCGTGTTGCTATGAAAATAAGAATCCAGATGTTATAAAGCCGTGGGAAATGGATCATGACGTGGAAAGAATCACATCTTGCCTGCATGGAAGAATGAAATCCCAAACACCAGTTTCTTCCATGGCGCTTTCTTGCTGCAGCTTTCCAGGAACTGCTCACTGATGCTTGTGTAGGACTGTAACATGTTAGCTCGCACTCCCTTCGGAGGCTCATTGGTCAGCTTAATACCATTCTGCACAATCAACAAGTTCCATAACCAATCGATCCACAAGCAACCGCTCTGTGAAGTTTCGAAGAGCACTCTTCCTTCCTATGCCCAGCAGAGAGCTTCTGATGTTTGCAGTAAAATCATCCATTGAACGATTTGACCGTCAAGAAACGAGAACCCAGTATTGGAAAGACATCAAACCTGGAGAACGGGGACAGGGAAATCTTTGGATGGGAATGAGGTGAGCCACAGGCGGAAGTCGGGATGGATATCAGCTCTTTCCGGAAGGAATTTCTCGATGATGCGCTCCATGGGAATCATCCAGGAGCTAGCTAAGTGGCAGTTTTGAAGGCAAACCCAGTCACCGGACTTGCGTGACTTCATGATCAGAGTTTCTGCCACAGGACCCTGGCCTTGACCCAGGGAGATCATGTGCAGTCTATCTCCTGCTTTGCGGTCCATTTTCTCGGCGAATCTCTGGAGCATGCCTGACGGATCAGCACCAGTAGTGAGGATGAAAATCACAGGATTTATGCACGACGTGTCTTTGAAAATCTCTTCCAGCTGGAGAGGCACACTTCCGACAAATTTCTGGCCCAAATGCGCGGTCACGAATAAATTCACTCCAAAGACCAGCTTTTCTCCTCTCATCACCTTCAACAGGAGTAGCTGCTGAAACGGAGTCAACTTCTCTTTCCAGACACCCGGGAGAGGGAAGATGTGGGGTTCTGGTGTTTTAAAATATTGTGACCAATTTGCCCAGCCTGAAGTTATGTCCTTGGTCAGCTTCTTGAAGGTTTCTGGTCGAGTTTCTTCGAGCTTGACGATACTCACCCACACTCTGTCTGGTATGATGCGATTGTCAGGGTTCGGGAGTGCTCCCTCTGGTACAGTATCAGAGCCTCCTATGAGGAAGAATACCCAATCCTCTTGATTAATTTCGCCCATATATTTCATGATAGATGTGCAGATGAGAAAGGAGAATGTCAACTTGTGCTCTTCGAATAGACCGCGACTCACACTCATGTACAGAAACTCTGTCATGTATCGAATGAGTATTTGCAGCCTGTCCTCAAGCACCTCTGATCTGGGGCTTGCATCGATGCATTGATTGAACAGCTGAGCGAAGTAGGACAATGAGTACTGGTACATAGAGTCGATGAGAGCCAGATCTGAGATGATAAAATACAGAATTGAACCCCGCTTTGCAACCACTCGGTATTCCTCTCGAGCTGATTTGATCTCTTTTTCAGTAATTTCTGCCTGTTTCACTCGACCTTGAATTACTCCTGACGTCAGCTTAGAGTTATTAAGAGTGTTTATCAGCACCTCATCGTCCAGAATGTTACCTTCACTCTCTTTCAGAAGCCTTAGGATCTTATCTTCCAAATCCTTTAGCTGCTTTTTGTCACTACTTATGCTCACCACAAGTCTGTCATTCTGCTCTTCCAGGTCCGCCCTTTCCTTGCGAACAACATCTCCCAGAAGTTGATCTTCCAGCCCTATCATGGTGACAGTGAAGTTCACCAGCGTGACCTTGATACACACTTCTGGAAGATAGTGAGGATTGGAGAGCTTTGTTGTCATGTATAACTTGAAATGTGGATCGTAATCGACATCCGTATCTCCAAGTCTTATGAGCCACCGACCCTTCTTCTCAAACACCTGTAACCAAAGCACCAAACAACCCATTTCCTGCTAGTTAGTTGAAAAAAAGAAACAAGAGACATGAAACACAATCGACAATCTGGACAGTGTGAGTTGCATCTGACACTTTCTGGAGGTTAATGTATACATTAGGCAGTGGGGAAGGAGTGACAGAAGCTCCAGTCATGATCGTGCCTGTTTCTGCAGGATGGGCTCCAATGCGGGATCAAGAGTGTCTCCAATATCTTCCAGCAGCACAGGATTCCCGATCCGAATGCTGCTTTCAAGAGTTCTGAGCAAAGTGGAGTCAGAAAGTCTGACAACTCGCAAACCATTTTTGGCTTCCATAGCTTTAATCCAGCTGTTTGCTTGTCCTTGGGGGTCTATCATCAAAGGCCATCTCCTTCCCCTTGTTACCAATATCCCGTTGTCCACTGAAACGTTGTCTGATGGAAGACCCCATATGTTCCATTCTCGTACCTCCACAGGCGTTGCAAGTATACCCCTCAGCGAACAGTCATCAGAAACAGGAATCTCCTCGTCCTGTTGCAGAACAGGCATAAATTAATACACATAGTTACTCAAAATCATAACGAGCGATAGAAAAAAAGGATGAGTGCTGTTTATGCGACTGCAGATCTCTCTTCCTTCCAAGCTGGAAGCTTGGAAGTAACTCTTTCTTAACGTCATGGGCATTTGAAATCAATGTTTCACTTCAGCTAGAAAATACAATGCATACGAACTCATCGGTTCTGAGTTTTAGAGCAATCTACTCCACGCTAGGATCGACACATTGATGGTCTACACCAATCACACCCATATTAGTAATAATCCTAATTTGGTCGTTCAGAGAGAACAACGGAGTTGTTGAAATTTTTTTATGTGAGAGCAAAGCATCTTGATCTGTGAAATGACTGGCGTGCTTTAATTAGATATTACGGTATTTATCAAGACGTGACCGATTGCTGTTAGTCCTGATCAAGTTGTCTGGATGCTTCAGAACTTGCAATTCCAAGCTTTACTTAAGCCTTACGATGGTAGGACATTTTCTCACAAGAAAGAAGAAATGGCAGTATTCCTTTAACTGGGAACAACGTTGACCATCATTGATGTTACGACGTGTTTTTTGATAAAGATAAGGTCCTGAAATCACTTCCGAAGAAAAAAAGTGATTCCCCTATGCATGCTTTCGACTACAAGAACCTCTCTGGTTTTCTCTTCTTCTCAACAACCCTCCTAAGAAATAAAGTGTTGTACTGTAAAAGAATAAAAAATTGCACCAATCATGTATAAGCTCATTTGCTCGGCGCTGACTCAATAAGGTGAAAAGGCTTATGCACTCTAAATCTCAGAAATAAGTGCAACGAGCTTGAAAAGTGAGATCGTGTCACACATTCTGAGACTATGACAAGATTGACATAGTAGTTACTTTTGCGGTTGCAAGAGTCTAGAATCTGTACTCAAAATGGCAGAGGTAGAGAGGTCAAGTTTAAGGAAAAAACTAACTCAATAAGAAGCAATTCAAAAGATATTATACTTTTGATTTTTGGTAATATCAATTGAAAAACAATTGGTGGAGGGAATAAAAATCTAAAGTTCCTGCTGTTCTCTGCTTTTGTATCATCACCTCACTCAGGATGCATGGTATCCATTTAATTGCCCACTTTTACGTAGTTCCCTCCTTGGTCAATCTAGAAAACCTTGACCTCACTCCAGGGAAACCAATACGTCTAGCCTGAGGCTCAAGGCCTAACCACGAGTGCTTGTGAGCCAAGTAAGACGAGGAAAACCTCCACATAGTTCCTAATATGATATCACAACCCATAACGCTTGAAGGTTGATCAGTAAACACATCATAAAATGTAAAGAGATACTAGTTCAGTACATTTTTTTCCTAGCTTCATGAAACTCGTCGATTTGTCTTGCTATCGGTCTTTTAGATTCAGCTAGTAGCAGAGATTATGATGTTTTACCTTAAATCGCTGAATCCAGCTTGCTACAAGGGCTGCCCGATATGGACCTGAGAAGGCCCCATAATATGAGATACACACTGCGCACAAGAACACATCACCTACGAGCAGCTTCCTCTTTTCCCCAATCTCCGCTGCTGTTTCCCTCCATCGCACCTGTTTTCGTTCATAGTGTGAGAACAGAATTGAGAGACAAAGATTTTCCAAAACGCTGGACAGAGATACATTGAGAGACTACATGGAACGAAATTACTGAAGGTCTAGCCACTTCGTAGGTTTCCCTCTGATTGTCTTCAGTGTATTATTCCCTGGCCTTGACAAGATTGAGTTGTGACGTGATAGGATAGTTTACCGCTTCATCACCGAGAGCGGAAGTAAGCTTTCCAGCTCTGATAAGTCGATTCTCAGTGAGCAATGCTTGTCCCTTCAGTTTGTCCATATCGGCTTGTACAACGTCTAAGTTAGCCTTCAGTTTCGCCACTTGCGCCTCTACGTCTGCAAGTTGTTTCTGCTTTCCTGCTAAAGTGTCAGCTGCCAGCTTGAGAGCTGCTTCTGCCTGGTTCAATGCTGCTTTCTTCGGTGCAACAACTTTAGCAATATCGGCGTAAACATTCATGGCCCGAACCCACATGCACATACTCGTAGCTGCATTACTCTGCTTTTGTACTGCTTCTGGTATGAACAGAGGATCGTTGATGTACTTCTGTAACTTCTTCTGTACTTGAGGAGTTATTGCATCCTTGTTGTACTCCATGAGCCGTTTGATGAATGTTACGTCTGCCATTATCTGGAGGACAAGAGACAAAGAAGTATCTGAAAGGGTCATGTCAGGTGCACTTTTGTTACCTCAATACCATGATGGACTCTTTGTTGAGGAAATCAGAATTTGATCTTGCCATGGTTCACTGATGTCGTTCACGTGGTCAATTTCAGCCCTGCAATAAGAGGTGGAGCTGACATTGACCTACTTGTCTAAGTTCAAAAGAAAAAAAAAGTGCACACCTTCTTGGCACTGTCCCAACCCACAGCCTCTCCGAGAAGAATGCAGACTGCTTCCATAGTAAGGAGGACGAGAGATGGTGGTTTCGCGAATGATTTCAGCTCAGTGATATCGCTCTTGTTTAGAGAATTGAGGGCATCTACGGCTGCATTTAAAGCAGGCATGGCTGCATCCAAGTCTTTCTGAGCGTCGTCTTTGATCAGTTGTGTCGCAGCAGCTTGTTCTTTGACTTGCTTCTCTTCAACTACCACCGTTTCTTTGACCTGTTTCCAAGATGTTTAAAGTCGATCAGAATCTGGCATTTAATCTGTTTAAAGTTTTTGGACCTGAAGTGCACCATTGGGGCATACTGAGACAAGGACGTCAACATTACTTCATCATCGCAAGCCTCAGTCGTCACTTGAAAGCATCAAAGTATTCCTAATCCATATAATAATATCCAACAACTATGCCTGACTGGGTGTGTCATCTGTTTCAGTGCATAAATTATGAACCCCACGAAAGCGGTCATTGAGAAACAACTGGTACCACAAACTTTAGAACCATCATCAGAGCCTCGAGCCGTGAAGGAATCCATTTGCCTGGTAAGCACGTGTACCTGCTGAGCAGCCGCGGTCTCCTTCGATACTTCGTTCAAGAGCTTGTTGGTAATTTCTGATTTTTCTGCCAGTATTGGCTGCAGCTCTCCTAGCTCGATCTGGACATCATGAAGATAACGGAGGAGGGACAATCAGGTTCTATTGGATTGAACAGGACATTTATTAAGAAGGGTGAAGATGTGAAAAAGAGAAGGAAGCACTTCTGCAAGCGGGTGGGTTGGGGATTTCATTATACCCTAGACAGATAACTGGAACATCAAGCCACTGGTGGGAGCGAGGGATCAGACTTCCAAGCAGCGTAATGTGGTACCTTCATTGTAGCTATGAGCTCGTTTGTCTCTTTGAGTTTGTTCAGACCATTGATAAACCTGTCTTGGGCGGCCAAACTTTCTATACGCTTCTCATTCAACAATTCCACGTAAAGGTTCACACAGTCGAGGTATGACTTGGGTGTTATGTAATATTTCCTCCTTAACTCATTGAAGAACTTGGTCGCCATATCTGAGACTGAAGTGTGAATGGATACACACATACTTGCCACCTTCTTCTTTACCTGGAAGCGAGACAATGCTGTGATTGTTATCGTCCGTTCGGCCAAGCCATTATTTACAATGGTTTTGATACTGACGACGGTTAATTCTAGTACGCTGTGCATCTGCACGAGAAGCTGGGCAGAGTTTGAAGCTCTTCTTAAAATACTGGATAACAGAGCTCTTTTAGAATGAAGAATTAACTCTCGACATTCCAGCCTGGAGGTTTACCAGGTCGTTGCCCAGATCGACAGCTGCTAGAAAATGGTTACTGACAGTCAGAAGGGCTTCCTCTGGCCACTCGTCGAACCAATCGATAGTGCAGCAATTAATGAGGGACGGAAATTGGCGACATCTTGATCTGAAAGGGTCACCGACAGGACTCATGCAAAGGACGACGTGGATAAACTCTCGAGATCTGTTGATAAAGCAGTTGTATAAAGAGTCCTTGGTGAGGGGTATGCCAAGAGTGAGAGCATATTCTCGAATGTCAACACACAATCGATCTTTCTCATCCACAGCAAATAACCCCGGAACTTCTCCTGAATTTAGTAAATTGTTGATGTCCTCCACAAAACCTTCGTTCACAATCTGAGTGTCCGTAAATAGGAAAGTTATAGGTTTGCCATCAATTCCTGAATTCCAATATCCAATCATCAATACATGATAATGTTCAGAAGATTATAAATTACAATAGATAAATGCCAACAGTATCGTGCTTAAAGCACAATCTCTGCAAGCTGCAAGTTCTTGAACACTATGGTTCTAGAGCACCTTAACCGTTCTGTTATGTTGATTTCAACTAGGGTAACCTAAACATTAGGATGTTTTATTGAGAGCATCTTTGATGAACTTTTGGTTATTCAGTCACAGATTCTATGTCTTGAGATGACTGCACCGGCTTATTTCAACTCATATTTTTTACTAACATAGAATCCTCTAATCTCGAATCCAGTAAACCTTTCCTCAAATCACCTACTGTTGCTCACGGGTGCCAGTATGTCAGATGGTGTTCCCAGTGATTCGAAGTAAAAACTTTCAATCTAACTTACCAGCAACTTTGTAGATTTTCTTGAGGTCCTCTCTGAACTCAAAATTGCTATAGCCTTTCGTCAGCTCGATCTGAAAACAAGTATACTCTGATAGAAAGCATGCAAAGCGAGTAAGACTCTGCTTTCCAGATCCACCCACTCCCACAAGCATCGCGTTGCCTCGCGGTTGCCTTAGAATACGTGCAAGCCTTGCAGTATGCGCTATGGCATCTTTAAAAAACACAAGTTTCATGACTTTTGGGGTACTCATATTGTAATCCTCGAGGTAGTCTTTGAATAGTTGAGGAAGTTTTGAAAAATCCGTAACCTGTAAAAGAGCCACAAATCATGCACAAATAGTACGTTTTGAATGCGCACAAATAGTGCGCATTCTGCTTGAGGTCTGATCCACATGCACTTCTGGCTGCTGCGAAGAGTTTAGACATCTTACCTTCGGGTTTGTCCATAGACACTTGCGAACCAACTTAGGCTGATCATCAGAAAGGTACCTGCTCGTAACGTCGATCTTCAGCAGAATAGCCAGGTCTGAGAAAGTCCCCATACATAATTATTTGGTCCTCAAAGAGCTCTTTATGAGTTTCTATAGTTTCCATGCTTCGCTTCAAAAGCTCGTGTACTATAGTTGTAAAGTAGAGCTTATCCTCAGCATTGATTAGACGATCATGAAATACACGCATGCTTTCATGAATCCACAGCGATCGAAGTTGCTTCTTTGTGGCACAGTCTACTGGCTTTACCATCAAGATTCCCTGAGTGGAAAGGGGCAAGTGTTAAGGTTCCAATGAGTACTGTACATGAGTATCTGGACAGGAAAGTCGCAGTTTGAAGTAGAGCAGTTGCTCAAGCTCTCGTAATTCTTAACTTTTCGCTTCCTTCAACTTTCCATCTTGCTGTGTAAAGAGTCGTCAGATACTTTTTAAGCAAAGGTTCGCAAGTTCTTATTAGAATTTCAGTTGAGACCTGGAAAATTTTTGAGACGTCTCGAAGGTTGAAAGTGTAGTGAGACTTCTGGGGTGTTGGCAGTAGCTCCTGACTCATTCTCATGAAGACCTCAATACTGCAGTCAACGATCGGTTTCGTGTAGGGCTTGCACTCCGCAGGAAAAAGGGCTAGAAAACCACTCAGAATTGCTCCAAAAATTGTTCTCAATGTCATTTCTGTCGGGGGCTGTACACTAACCATACTGAAATGGCGAAAAAATCGGGGTGTCACCTGTAAAAGAAAACGGCTATACTTGAGGCATGTTCCAACGAGGTGGACACCCTGTTGACATGAAAACAAAATCAAGTTCCTAGGTGCAATTACCTCGTTCCGGCCACCACCCGGAGGACCACAAGCAGCTGCGATTGTCATATCAGCAATGTCCTTCCAGAAAAGATGAACCCGATCATAAAATCCTCTGAAGTCCTGAAACTGCCTGAGGAGCTCGATAGGTGGCTGTGCAAAGTATTTTTCCCTCATTGGCATGTTCACGTCGTCCACAAAGCATATGATCTTCTTACCGAATGGTCCACCAAATCGATTCTTCCCTTTCTTTTCGAGCTTACTCTCGATTGCTTCCTGCAGTTGAACAAAAATCTTTGACAACAATACTCGGTGAACTTGTACTGAAATCCGTTGCAGTTTCAAGCAAAGATTATTACTCTGCATACGTGAATTGAAAGAAGCCAGGTTTTCGAGTTTCTCGTTGAGAAAAGGTATGATAGCAAACCTGAGTTGCAATAGCAGTGGTTTGTGCGCTAAAATTCAGAACGATTGCCATCATGTTCTTGGCTTCGGCTAATTTTGAGATCAGGTCCAGCACGATTGCGCTCTTGCCTGCACCTGATACGCCTGCGAAGAGAACTGACCGCTGGATCTCAATGTTGAGCTCAAAGAGCCACCCGAGTCTTACCGTGTCCAACGTCGGTACCATCAAGGAGAAGAAAGAAACCCCTGGTTTGTAGGTGAACGAAGGGATGACTTCTTCCCAGGGTGACAGAGACTGCTCCTTAACGTTCACAAAATACTCAAACACTGTGTCTCCACCCGGATATGCTGCCAAAGTTTCGCATTCTTTTCGAATGAACTTATCGAATCTCTCAATGCTCGTATGCCTGATGTTTCCTCCAACAGACCACACAAAAGCGAAGGCAAAAATTCGGCTCAAGGTACCTGTAATCTGATCGTTGAATTCACCTGCAAGGCTAATTCCCCTGGAAGGTTGTAGAAGGCCTTGGTAGTACCAGCAAAGGGTGGTGACAATATTGATATTCACCGAGGGGATAGTTTCCTGCAGATGGTTTCTAAGAAACTTGAGCCCTGTATCCATCCATTCATTGAATAAGCCTTGTATATAATCCCGGCACTGGGGAGTGAGAACGATGCCGATCTCTTTTGGAAAACGTTGTAACCAAGATTTCACATACGGACGCCATCCTAATTCTTCAGGAGGAACGTACACCATTCCACATCTGCTAACTGTTGCTGGTGAGGCAACTGCTAAGTCCTGAACTTCGAAAAGCATTCTCATTGTCGTAGGATTCAGTTTTATGCGCTCTCCATTAGGCAAGCATAGGACGCAGTTATCATCCAGCACTGTGTTCATGTTCTCAATCCATATTGCGTCGACGGGTCCATCAAAAACAATCCACTTTCTGTCCTGGGTGGTATCTGCCACAGCAGCTCGAATGATCGTGCTGCCCAAACCATCCGTCCACTCGTTCGTCAATAAGTTGTACTCGCCATACAATTCACCCATTTTTATGCACTTGGGATTCAGTACATAGGCATGTGTCTTCTGGAAAGCGGGATTGTCGTGGCCTCTAACTCGCAACTTCGTCATGGCATCTCTAAGCAGCCGATAGCAAGTGGTTTTGCCACCACCTGTAGGTCCGACAGCCATCACTCCAAATCTCACATTCATGGTTTCGAAAAGTTGGATCACCTTTATAACAAAAGCATCCACTATCTGCAACCCGCCTTCTAAAATGCATTCTTCAATGGCCAGTTTAAGCTCTCCAAAGTCTTGTGGAGGAATCTCAACGCCTGGGAAGAGATCTGTGATGATGGCCAAAAACAAGCTAACATCTTGAGCCAAGAACTTCGGAAGATTGCTATCTTTAAAAGCACGAATCAATACAACATCCTCGACAAGATCAGGGTTTGCTCGTTTTAAGGCTCCTGCCATAACAAGCACTGATTTGACAGCCCTCATACCAAAATCATAGTGATCTTGCTGACTAAGCTGCTCACTGGAAAGTTTGTAAAGTTTCACCATTTTTCTAGACAACACCTTCGCATTCGCAAAGCCTTCAGAAAAAAGCATCACTTCAGCTACCAATGCATAATCAGGAATCATCATAGACACAGGCCTGAAGAGAACTTTCAGGTTATCTGGTAACTCCGTTCGTCCTGCATAACCTGGGTTCATGGTGATGAAAACTCCACAAGTTGCTAAGAGCTTGATTTCACGCCCTTCAAAGTTGAACCGAGCAAGCCGAGCTTTTAAAGCATTTTGAATAGTAAGTAGTTGCTGAGCAACCACAGAAAGCACTTCAATATCAATCCGATTGAACTCATCAAAGCATGCCCAAGCACCACATTGCGCCAGGCCTGCAAAAAATTTGCCCATAAACTGGACCACAACAAACAGAAGTACTTAGTAGCAACATAAGAGAAGAGTTGACCTTGGCAGGCAGTGAAGTTGAACATCTGCGAAAAAACAAGTACTACATGTTACCTAATTGTATGAGTCTGTGATTCAGTCAGTTATTCTAGTCATCAGTATGAAATCAGAGACTAAGATTCAGACAGTGGCATAGGATGGTCCTGGCATCTAGTTCACAAAGACAAATGATGCACGTATGCAACCAGGAGAAACTATGAAATCTTGAGGAGCCACATAAGTACACAAACTTGCTGTCACTTTCAACTCTGGGTAGACCGTTTCTGTAAAATACGCTAAATCCCTGTCTTCAGGAATGTACATGACGACCACTAACTCCTCATTTATCTTATTCGTGATATGATGTAGCTTCACAGTGAGATGCTTTGTTCTTCCCTTCACTGCTCTGTCGCGGGCTAGTAACAAGTCAATTATATAAAGCGGATGCTACCTTCACTTCTCAAATTGGTTAGTCGCTAAAATCTAACACCGTAGAACTTTTCTGTCGATGAACTACTGCTTACATGTTTTGCTAAGTCCCTGTCTCAACAGCGCTCTGCTAAAACCTACATCTCTGAAGAAGATTCCCCGTCCAACGTTAAGTCTGAGTTTATTGCACACTTCTGTACCACTCCCAGACGAGAGTAGGCTTACCATCCCATCCCATCCCATCCAATCTTATCGTGTCCTACTTCCTCGTCTATACATCATCCTCTTGTTTTCAGCTATTTAAAACGTACTACTCTTACAAATTCACAAAAGCACGTGAGTCAGTTAATCAACCATGATACCATGGACGGTTTACCAGTGCAGTAACCTATGCACAAAGAGTTGAGACTAAGACACGTGTGAAGTAAGACACAAGTTACAGAAAGTGATCACTGAGTGATTCGGGGCCTGTGGTATCTTACATGAGAGAGATGAGAGGAACAGAGGAGACCGTATGCGGACTACCGGATGTGAACTTAACGGTGCCTTACTACATTTTTTTACGTAAGGCCACGTAATGTTTTGTCAATTAGGTTAGGCTTACAAAACTGGTTAGAGTCATAGAGTTCTTAGAGTTGAATACCCTGAAATCCAGATTGTCTCCGCAGTTGAAAACGACACACTGTATACCCAAAGCTTTTGCAAGATCTTTCGTAGTTTCTGTCTTTCCTGTTCCAGCAGGGCCGGCCGGGGCTCCACCGAGTTTCAAATGTAGAGCACCCGTAAGAGTCATGTAGCATCGGTCTGTAAGAGGGGTAATCACAAGACGTGGCTGTGCTCCAAGATACTCATAAGCGTACGTGAAACGAGCATTTGTTTGACGAATAGTACTATCCTCCAGTTCATCATCCCAGTAGTAGCGTAGTTGCATTTGCCAACCAAATTCAGTAGATTTGAAAATCTTCTCCCTGCAACATTCAAGTGCAACTGTCCAAAGGAACTGTGGATAATACTCTAAAATAATCACCAAAATAGTTACAAAGTTTATAGTTAAGATACTTCTCTTGTCCTAGCTGAAAATGTGTCACTAATTACGTTAGAGATCACTGCCAAGCTAACTCGTTGTAGAATGCTATAACACCAGCAATAAAAGCGCGGAGGCTGGTGGGCTTTCCACCGGTTGGAAACCTAGGGCCCGTACATACATGTAACACATTCTAAAGAGCCCTGCATAAAGAGAGAAAACACAAGAATGTTGGTTACAACAGCAAACAAGAACTTCGAAAGAGAAAGGGCTTACCGAATCATATCATCGAGAATATCTCTTGCGTGGACATCAATCGTAATCAGGGCACATAATATCTTCCTCTGCAGGGATTTGAGTTCTCCTCTGACCAAAACCGATAAGGCTTCAAGCTGAGAGATACAAAGATTCAAGGACTCTACAAGAAGAGTTTCTACACTTTTCTCTCCTCCTCCTTTCAGAGCATCTTCGACCATTTTACTCCAGTATATTTGGCTAGTCATAACCACCAGCTGCGCAGCATGCAGCAGTGTCCACTGAGGGCGTGGTCTTTTATCATAATCCTGAACAGCTGCCTTTGCTAATCTGTCAAAGTAGGCAATGTCAACGTATATCAGGAGAAGGAATAGCTTGTCTACAATCCCACTGGTCTTATTGAAGGATGCTACTATGTAACTTTCAAGCCGCTAAAACTTAAAAGACATCTCCATGACGTTTAGGTCATACATGGATTATATGAAGAACTAACTGGTCTAGGATCAAAGCGTGGCCACACCTCCGCAGACTAGAAACCATATTCTGTTCAACAGATGTCAGCCAATTCTCCACGTTTCCTCTAGCCTTCAAGTTTTTGCCCAGGCCGACTCTTTCTCCCTCTCCAGATATCATAGCATATATGTCTATGCTTTTAGGATCCTCACCAAAGTCTAAACTTCGAATGCCATCTGTTGTCATCAGATTGGATTAGCTATCGCACTTACAACGCCGAAGCCTAGGCCTCCCGAACTTTCAGGAATGTATAAGCCTGATGGAAATCCAAAAGAGGTCTATTTAGCCAAACCAGTAATGTTGAATTACATTTCTACTTCGCAGTTAAAGCACGAAGGCACAGAGTGACATTGGACTAGTCAGAGCTGCAATTTCCACCTTTTAACCATTAGCATGTTTGTTTGGGAGAGAACAATCTTTCATAAAGACAGTAGTTTACCGAAGCACTTAGACATATGAGGCTGCACAGCTTGCACGTTTCGTGTTTGTGCGAGAATCTCCAGTAGCTCGTCATTGGAAAGAAAGTAAAATCTTGGGAAAGCCATGCGCTTCGTTTCAAGATAATCTTCGAGATTCTTTTGAATCTTTTCTAGGGTCTCATTGCTCTTTTGGAAAGTTTCTAGCCAACCAGGGGATGTGCCTGCTTGCAATGCGTTTGCCCTGCATGAAGTGGACTTAGTTGTCACTCGCTTTGTTAAAAGTTTGTGATATCCATTTCTTGTGCTCAGGTTTCTTCGTTTGAATGTAAAACTGATGGGGTTAGACCTGTACCATCAACACTTGTTTCACCGGTTTAAAAAAGGGAAGAAATAACAAATGAACGAGGCAACTGAATGTAGTTCTCTAAAACGGGAACCAAGAGTAAAGCCAGAGCACATGTTGATAAGAACAAGCATGACAGTGGAACCGGTGCACAATATATTATCCGCACAACACTCATGCAGAAATACGAATCTGGTTGCTATCCACGTACCTGTCATGGGTACGCTTCATGATATCTTTAAACTGCTTGTCCACGGCAAAGAACGCCTTGCTCTCGTTTGGCAGTTGTCGTTGAATGTCAGGAGCACTGAATATACTTTCCAGGTACATCCATTGCTTCTGGCATTCACACCACTGGTCCAATGTTTTACCAAAATGTTTGAGCTGTCCTTCCATTTTATCCACCTCACCTTTAATACCCGCAACATATCTAAATAATAGGAAACAGGCATACATGTGTTAGCACTATTATTTGTACGGAAACGTAATCTCATAGACTAAGAATCGATTATTGGAAATATTTCTCCCGACAACATAGAGCAGCAATACTCAAATGATTGCAGCTGATGAATCAGTCTCAAAAACCTGAATATCTATTGCAAAAAACTTAAAAACAAACAAATACCGTGGTCTTTATAATCATTGGTCTACCAGTAGTCTCGATGAGTTGTAAGTAGAAGGCCTTGTATAGAAACTGAGAATCCCATGTCATAAATACAAACCTTGACGAAGTTACAGTATTCATTGTAACCATTGAATCCTCCAATGCAGATAGCACATCATCAACACCCCCGAGCACGTAGACATCTTTGAATTCTTTGTACTGCTTAACGACAAACTCAATTGTACTCCACTGCATGATTTGAGCAGAGAAATCGTTCATAACTTATCACAAATGTAACAAATCTCGCTACAATAATAAGGAAAAGAAAATGATTTCAATTCGTTACATATATTGTGCGGGAAAACCAGGAAAGTGTCCTCCAATAACAAGGGTTCTTACTTTATCATTTAATCACAGTAATCTCAGATGCGATTACTGATTAAGCATGAGTCATATTTGAGAAGGCTATCTCTGATCCATTAGCGTTGAATGCAGGAAGCTATGAACTGGAGAATTTGTTAGAGGAAAATGTTCCCCGAAAACTATCAATTGCCTTTGGAGTATCATGTTTGCTTCATATCAAATTACTTTCATACTTCTCACATATGATGTCTTCTTGTACTATCAATATGAAAGACAATATTAAATCTTATCAGATTTTGTTACTACCTTCTGTTTAACACCCTCCATAAGCTCTTCCAAAGCTGCTTCTTGTGTTGCCTCGTTTGAAATGTTAGCAATTGCGGCTTTATACTCCATAACATTGTACTCAATCAACTTTCCTAGAGTGAACTGTGCATTCCTTTCGATCTTCGGAAAACAACCAGATAACGTCAAAGTTAATCAAAATATCATCGATTATGTCATGAACTTTGCAATCGTCTTTGCTTTGGAGCTTACAAAGTCAATTGGCAGCTACGACTTCTTGAAGTAACTCAACTGCCATTGTAACTGAAGATGAAACATAGGCATCTTACCTTATGACTGATTTCCAACTCAATCTTCTTCCAGTGTCTGTCTCTAAGACATTTATTCCTCATGTTTTGCATGACGGGGACTGACAAACGTAAATCATCGACTTGCTTTCTCAGTCTTTGCACCACTGGATTGGGAACTATTCCTCTCTCCAGCTTTACCGTGAGCTTGGCATATCTAAAAATCAGTCAAAAGAAAAGGATAGACGGATAATGAATATGCTCTCAATATTAACATCAAGCTTACAACCAGCTTTGCACAAATCGATTTCTATCTGAAAAGATGCTGGATGCGTTGATGTGCGGACCTGCATGCCTCCCAATACTTATAATATATGAACTAACATAGAACGATTGTTTATCATATTCCTTGCTAAGTTACGTATTTAGGCTCAAGTCAGGAGTTAACTTGGCCAGAGAAAAGCAAACGAAGTTCCATGAATTTCTTAGGCATATAACCTGTCGGAGATTCTAGTTACATTAACTTACGAAATGAAAAGTACAGCACAGTTCGCTAGCATTATCTTGTAACTTACCTGTTGACCACTTCTTCTACTTCCTGAGTATCAAGGCTTTCAAAATGGGTCGCTATCCAAGCACCTGACTTTTCAGCCAATTCCTTCAAACCCTGCCATAAAGAATATCGCAAATCCACTTCCTCTGCTGCTTGCAACAAATCATCAAATCGCGATTCATCCACCTTAAACAAACATCAAGTCAAGTGTAATTGTTAGAAGTGACTAACATTTTTTGTGAAGTTAGGAGATGAATCGCGAAATCAAAGAAATCGAACATTCAGATATCTTGAAAACGACGAGTACGAGTAAAAGCGACATCAACTTGAGAACAGTAATTACGCAGTCCAGAGCACCAAGCAGATTACCTTACGAATGATGAACATATGAAACAAAGTGAACTAAAAGTGCATGGTTGCAGACCTAAAATCTACAGACTACTTCACAACACTATATAACTAAGGAGACATGACAAGCGGAGAAGATATCTCGACTCTACGGTATTCCAATTTATCCATATGACAGAGGAAAGTCGTACACGTAGCAAACATGAGAATGCAATGTGAAGAAGCAGCAAGACTTAGCTTAATTTGTCAATTTTGCAATTCACGTTCTAAACCCTTGAAGAAGTTGTCGAGAGTATTTGGATTTGGAATGTAATTGATGGTGAGACTAAACGATTCTTACTTGAAACAGCTTCTGGTACATCACAATACGTTGTGCAGCAATCTTTTGGGTTGTCACATCCTGATTCAATTTAGACATGTATTCTAATACCACCTCCTGATCAGCATCTGCACATACAGAATCAAACAATAAACTGAGATGGGTGAATGTACATTACCTTCAAGTCTCTACGCTTTAAACCTCCTCGATCCTAGTTCCGGACGACACCTGTACAACCAGTACTTTGTAAACGATGGCCATGTGATACTTAAGACCAGTGTATGCATACATCAATACCCTATGTACTTCTAGAAGTATACACAAGCAAAATTTATTTTCCTATTTGAAAGGACATCCACAAAACTTCGAGTATTATTTTTTGTTCAAGCATGCGGCCGGTAGACAAATGAAAGGACTACGAGACATTTGTAAAAATAGTTCTAAGCTCTGAAGATTTCAGCGGAACCTGGTTCAAAAGTAACGCGGACCTGGATCAAGAGTCATAGGATTCTGAGCTGTTTCTCTTATGGTGATGACATCTTTTCTCAGCTTGTCAACTTCTACAGCCAAGTCAGAACTGAATCTTTTAATGTTCTCATTCTTTGTCTCTTCTACAATCTCCATAGCCTCTTTACAGGCTTGAAAGTCATTGTTCATCATCAAATAGGAAGCATACTCAAGATCGGGGATCGGAATGTTGTGGTCTCTCATCAAGGCATAATGGTCGTGGATGAGATCAAACTCGATTTCGAGTTTATCTAGCTTAGAATGGAAGGCCTGCATTGCAATTTTGACAAAATCCAAGATTGAGCAAGGCTCAATTCTTCCAGTCTCCATCCGAAATTCCTTTAGAGCTGTAACATCTCTGCCATTTGTTGGAACGACTTCTATGTCAGGTTTAGTATGACTCGAACCTACAACTTCACCTTATGAGCGGTGCGCTAAACCCAATTAACTGAAAGCCTGAAGTAGCCACTCTCAAATCCCGTAACAGCTCCACATGATTTGAGGGATTACTGTCAGATTATCGCTCAGAACAGTATATATATCTAAATGTGTCAATCTAAACCTGGTACCTTGCTTTCTACTTTTCAAAACACGTTAAAAATTGACTGATTTGCAATCTGCATTTGTTCAGCTTAGATACAAGCAAAGATAACTTTCAAGGTAAGGCTCGTCAAAGTTTCCAGACCTCCGCAAAATTAGCAATATCCACAAACTCTTCTACTGTGGTTGGTTTGACGGCCATCTTCTTCTCAGACGCATGTATCTCGTTAATAAACACCTACATTCCAGATAGTCCTTCTCATTTAGAAGTAATACCTTGTGCTGCACCTAGTTTGTGCATACATGAAATCGGTATGAGCCATCGAGCATAAACAAACTTCAGGCTACTCAGAAGTAACTGGACAACCTGGGTTTGGTACTTATCTACATAAAGTAGTTGTCAAAAATAAAAGGTGACCTGCTGTGATGAATATATATCGTCAGAAAACATAGGAAGTTAAACCAGCATAAGGTTGACCACAACATCTTCAACTTAAATAAAGAGCTTTTACAGGGTTCAAATTCATTTCTATTGGTCGATTGCCAAAAAAAATTGGCGATGACGACGATGGGTTGAGGCAAACGCCGACACAGACTCAGTCGTGTAGCCTGACCAGAAAGGTTACCGTGTAATGCTCATTCGCAAGTTGTGGGAGTAACTGATATATGTTCTGTAGCGCTTCTTGAGGGAAGGGTAGAAGAGTCTTCTTCAGATTAACATAGTTGATGTGTAAAATTCCCTGTTCAAGTGAAGAAACATTGCTAGTTGGTCATTGTACTGTCTCCTCCTCAAATTGGAAGATAGAGGCGAAGAAGTGTTCAGTTTTGAATTTCCACTGATTGTACATTCGATTGAACGCACGTGGTGACTTTCAAAGTGATATCGAACCACAGCAAGAAGAAGGATGCATACTATATCTGCACTATTCGGTGCAGCCTCGATTTCTTTTATCTCGGTTCTGTAACGGAGAATGTCATTTTTGAACATCTCGAGATCTCGTGTACCTGCCTTTATCTGAGAAAGAAAAACAATGTCTGTCATCTTTGTAGAAGACTGATTATATATATAGTATCAGTTTTCTGCACTAAAACTTTCTACCGGAACCTGAAGTCAGGGTAAAGCATCCAATCCTCACTTTAGAGACTACTTTCTGTCATGTATTTATCACAAATGCATAGATACAGAAAGATATTATTCGAGCACTACAACTTAGGCCCTGCATTTCTATACGATGTACTTCCGATACTTGAGAACATTGACTGAAAATTTCTGTATCTGAGGCCCATTTTGTGTTCACTGTAATCACATTGATTGTCTATTGTAATAGTAGTTCTACGTGTGCGTAAACACTATCCTACGGGAAAAAGACAAGATGTCAAGTTCATGAAATCCCCAGAAGATAGGAGCATTGACCTCATCTCGCATACTCTGCTTGGAGATGAATTTGCTTTTGATGGCCGTGTCCACGTAAGGCTTGAAAGTGACTTTATTCTTGTCTGCATCCTACACGACTATGCAAAGCCTCAACAATTCAGGAGCATGATTGTGCTACACTGCTTCATAAAGTGTCAAATGGTATTTTAAGGCACGAATGTCAATCAGGATGATGAGCAAGCTAGAACTATCCAGATTCAGAAGGTTCAAACGTATTTCTACAGTCGAACAAAAAACTGAATAGGAGAAGGGTGACGAAGACGAATTTGATACTAATGCACACTGACTACAACCCTAATTTTATTGTATCCAGACGTACGAAGAGAACTGCGGACAATCAATGCTCGTGCCAGCAGTATGGTAGTCGTCGGTCTACCTTGTAAGCAAGTGATATAGAAACTTTAATAGAGGCAATGAGACCTCCGAACTGAGCTTCTCCGATGAGATCTAGATAGGTAGCAAGGTTCTCGAGGCCTGAGTCTCCTTTGTCAACAACTCCATCCAAGACGGGATGATAGAGGAGTCTTCTTAGTGATCGAATGACATCCATCATCCCTTTGATCCAGATCTCGATCTAAGAGTTGGACAGTGCAATAGGTACTGTGGAATGGTCAGTTGCATCTGATTCAGCCGCAAGAAGATTCTTAGACTACACGAACGACTTAGTGAATATCTTAGTACAATACCTGGCCTTTTATGTATACTATTCAACAGATGTAGAGGGCAAAAGGAATGGGTGAATCAAATTACCCTGTGCAAAAGCAAGTGTTCATGAATCCAATCAAGGACCGGACAGAAAACATTTTACACGAGTTACTCTTATCGATGAGCAGATATTGATATTGAGATATGTTGATAAGTTGGCTGCCATGTATAAGTACATAGTATGTTGAGAACCCATATATTAATGAGAACAATATTAATAACCTAAACTTTGATAACTTACCCCTTATTTGACTTGTCAACGCAAAAAAAATTCTGTTATAGCAGTAGAATTGATGGAATAAGGAGATAATGAGGAAGAAGTCACGAGGTCCAGTTCACATGAAGCAGGGTCATGATTCCACACGGTCTGAAGTCCGATTGAAAGCATAGCAAAGAAGGCAGAGCAACAGAGGAAGATAGTGACGAACATTTTTCTCGAACTCGGAGAAAGACGGCACCAGCACCAGGTGGTCGTCAATCATTGCAAGGTCTAACTCAAATACTTGAACACGATCCAGCTTTTTCTCTTCGTCAGTCTTCAGAAGACTAATTGAATCTCTCTTTTCCATTGTCGATCTTCGAGAAGTTGAATTTCTTTTGCTTGCCCTTCTTTCCTTTCCTTGCTCTTTCTCCACTGGTACGGTAGTTTTTACTCCTTCAACTGCAGGTGTTGGCGTCGCTCCTGTAGTCGATAGCCGAGGTTCTGGAGCTGGTGCAGGTTTGTGAGCTACGCGATGAAGAAGATCTCTGAAAGTGCTCGAAAGAACTTCTCGTAAAGCATCGGAAATGAGATAATCTGTGAGTCTGACACAATTCTGCAAACGAACTTGCTCCGATCTTTTGGCAGCTGCAATCAAATACGTATAGCGTTCTTGACTCTCTTTTTCTTCAGAGTCTCTCTCCTTCTGAGCCTTCCACCTGGCAGCAACGCCAGCTAACTTATTGCGATTACTTGGCTCCTTTCCATCATCTTTATGTATAGCTTCCTTCATCACAACATCCTGTGGCTCGTCCTTGCGGCGTCCCAACAAATCCTCCTCCAGTTTTGACAGAGCTCTGATGCAAGACTCACGTAGAGCTTCGACTGCCCCATTTGTTAACTGAGATCACAGAATAACCACCAACTCAGGGATTCTAGCATACAGAGAAGCAAAAAACATGTAAAATTCAGACCATGAATCCAACAGCAAATGTAAGAGGTGAAAGTTGATCTACATGTTGACTCTTGTTTCTGCACATAATTAATCAGAAAGTTGCAAGGGGCGATACAACAGATAACAGGAGTAAGTAATCAAGTTTTCAACCTGGAGTGAGTTGTATAGCGATTTTCAATTAAGCATCTAGTATTTGTATGCGTTAACCTCCTATTTGTGAAGAAGATACCTCCAATAAGATTTTGGCATTTTCCACTCTTCTGCTGTCCTGGACGGTCATGAATTTGTCCAGCGTGTAAATTTCTCCTGTGTCAAGCCGGAGGAATCTCACTGTCCACAAATCGACACACATCTGCAGAAAATATCAAAAAATCTTTCAAATCCAAGAGCAAGTACAGTGACAACTAGCCTGAACAGTTTATACCGAGAAAGAAAATAGTGCTCTGGCTAAGAAGACTACCGACTTGGGACTTGCTCCGAAATCTTCTTACCTTGCGGATCTGCAAAAGAACAGCTGCAAATATCACATTACAGGTGAAAAGTAGCTTCAGCAATAGTTCCACTGAGATCTTCTTCTTTTTTCTCCTGACGTGGTGCTTCCATACCTTCCAACTTTTCCAATATTTGTACTGCCAAACACGAGCCACGTATATCAGTTGTATGGGTGGTGGAGACCGAATGGTTATTGGGTTTTTGTGAAGCCAAAGTTTCAATTTCCGCTCATCTCTAGTCCTTGAAGATATAACGAAGCGCGCACCTGACGGAACACATTCAGATTAATGATGCACTTGTAGGAACGGTAGCCTCTTTCCCACTGGTCCAATGGTGTGAATTCTGTACAACGTTCAGAAATTGCAGGGTTTCATAATATGAACCTTCAGTCGAGAAAACTCTTCAAGTCCAATCCACTCAGGCCCTAGCAAAGCAAAAGCCCAAAACGAACGTACCTGCATCACCATCTCGAAATAGGGTGACTCCTTGGCTGCTCACCGTGTAGTAGTATGGACTATCTATCTGACCGTAGGTCACTATTTCTAGTTCAAAAGGATCGAATTCAGGCGTCTTTGGAACTTTGGGAGGTTGCAGATATATGAACTCCATGGTATTTGGCTGACGCTTGAGAAGCTCTGAGCTCCTCGCACACAGAAAACACAAATACGTTCAGAAGACGAAGCCATCACGGTAAATGGCAATTTGTAGCTGTGACAAGAATCCAGCAACTTGCCCTCTCTTCCAAAATCATCCCAAGAAGCAAAGGAGAGCATGAATTGGAATATGTACAGCCAGCTGATCCTAAGACTCATGCCACCTCGAGAAAACAAATAACTGCAACCAAGAGCAATACCTAGAAAAGGCATCCATGGATAATCGGGCGGCTTTTGCTTCTCTGCAAGAGCAAACTTTCCTCTCTTCCTTTTCCAATTCTCGTGATAGCTGGGTGTCTTTTTCCTACTCGATGACGAATCTGGTCGTCTGATTGAGGGAATAACGATGCCTCCTGAGCTCTGGCTTGCGGCTGGCACTAGTTTCCAGCTCTCCTGGAGTTCCCTGACGTACTGCTCTTCCGCTGTGGTTGGTGGCGGAACGGCATACCGTGGGCTGCAGAATCGCTCACCGTGAGAGGTGGACATCCGCTTTCCTGAACCCTCCGTTGAACCTTTGCCCAAAGTGCTCGAGCTTGTTGAAGGCTTTCCAGTACTGAAGGTTCTGACTGAATGCGAAACGCTCAAGCTGTCCGTGGACGGCGTATAAGACATTTTGGCCTTCTTGTGCTTGGAATAGCTCTGGTGCTGGCTCAAGTACATCCGGCCCTTCAAATCCTTGGGCTCTAAAACCGAGTCGCCCATCACTTCTTTTTTGGGATCACTGGGATCCATCTTGCAACTAGAACCCGGATGTTTGGATTACACGCGTTGATTGAAAAGGACAGACGTTCCGACTCGGTCTCTCTCAGAGGATAACAGTCAGAGGATGGACACCTTCATGGCTGGTGAACGCAGGATAGACATGGAGAGAAATTAGAGCTTTCGTATAAAGAAAGATGCAGTCGGAATTGCCGAGATAAGAATCAACGATCTCGTCCAACAAACAACGCAGAGGTCTTCAATGTCGTTTGGAAGAAAGATATGTTATTAGCTGCCAGTGTGGAAAAGATCGAGGTGAACAGAGAATTAATTTAAAGAAAATTTCTTAAAGCTGGAATGGTGGATTTGTCCCGGGACGTGTAGCGAAGTCAGTGCTCTCCAATAACGGAGTATATCCAGCAATGAATGGCTATTCTTTTTAACTGCATCCGAGCCACATTTAAGCGACTACGTCGAGAATTTTGCAGCGGATAGCTTGGAGGTCAAAATATATCGAGGTACTGTTTTAAAAACGATGGAAACATTTTTCCATCTTCTCGACTCCTCCACCAATCTTGCAGGACGAGAAGGTTGAGTCCCCACCATCCACCGATCTGCTCAGATGGAGTCTGAATTGAGCTGTGGTTCAGAACTCCTGCTGTCGAGCAGGTTACTGCAACACTCAGACACACACCCCGCCCAAGGCCTCTTCGAGAACTGGATCACTTCTTCACTCAAATCCACTCCATTTGAGATGTTTTGTAAACAATAATTGACTGAAGACACCGCAACGTCGACATCGTTGCTCCCCGCTATGATGTTAGGGGACCCAAGTAGCACAGAAAACGTATTCTTGATGTCCTCAGAGACGAGATCAATAGTATGCGGCAAAAATATGTGATCGCACTTGAGGAGAGAAGCCACTGCCATCAATGGGTTTACAGATGGCCAGAAATTTCAGTCCTGACAGTTAGCGCAATGCAGTGAAATGATCTCCACGGATTGACTTGCTTTGAAGCCTGTGCGGAAACGCTGCGAGTTTTTGGTATCGACGAGCAACAAGAAGAGGAAATTAGTTTCGTTGCAATGACACTGATCCCCCCTACCTGAGAGAATTTATTTAAAGTGAAGGCTGGCAACGCCCGAGTTCTTCTTGTACTACGCACGGTAGAATTTCCCGTCAATCGCGGTTGACTAAGCATCAATTATTCATAGTGACAAGAGAAAAGCACGATCGCTCTTCCCATGTCGAGATCTGTAAGCGAAACACGGGGCAGCGAATCTCGGCAACACTTATCTCCTCAACGAACGCTCTGCATCCAATCCGAAAACAGAATTCATGGCAGAAGGTTCAGAAAGTTTTCGCAACGCCTTGAACATTGCCCGAGCGAAGCACAGATTATTTTCACCACCTGCTCCGTAGCCGATTCCTGCATGGCCCGGCCCTGTCACACCCCGTGCAGGATCCAATCCTCGGCTTTCGAAACAATTCTACAAATCTTACGCGCCCTCGACTGGCGCAGCGATGGTGGACGGCCAAGAGGCTTCCTCATGACATGCACGAGGTTACTTAGACTGGTTTGGCCACATGAAAATGACAGACAGCAGTGCCTTGCATGTGAGGTGAAAGAAACAGAAGACTGAACAAATAACTGAACACACGCGTGTGAACTGGACAAGGACTCGATGCGTGCTCTTTTCTTACAACTGGTATGAGACCGAGCGGGGAGGGAGTCGAATGATTCCACGTGCATGTCAACCAGGTGCCAATGGCCGATTCTCACAGTTTTTCTCGCATACGTGCTCCACTGAGCTTGTTACATAATTCGGCAATGTGAGCAATATTTCGTGACCTGGTCCTGATTTCTCACAGTCCGACGTGTTCTGACATGACTAATGTACTTAGGGCTTGGTTCAATAATATGCCCCCCGACTTTAAATAGAACTGAGAGGAATGTTTTCTAGATAGAAAAGTCGAATGAAACTTCACTCATGATACCTGAAATACAGATATCGGTGACATGTGGATTCCAGATGTTATTATTCCAGATGAACAAAACACGAGGAAACACAAGATTAAATAGATACTTCCAGCCGGGTTCAAACCCGAATTCCAGCGTCCGAGACAATAGCCTGTCTAAATATCCTCCAAATGATAAACAAAACGTGTATGTTTGGTTGGAATCAGTTATAGGCACCAATGATGAACAATAAAACAGTAAACACTGCCTTTGCTGCGACATAGTAGATACTCCTGCATGCTGTTCCACTGGCCTTCCAAAGACCCTTCGTGAGTGCTAAGATCCTGAAACTTCAAATGGATGCAAGCTTATTGAGATATATGTGGAGGATTATCGACACCTGTTGTTGGACTTGGATCTTGAAGGAGCGTGAAAGCGGGTAGACAATTTTTCATCGGTGGTTTCCTTGTCTGGCAATGGGAGGTGAATGAATAAAAGTCCATTTCGAAGTCACGTTCATAAAGAAGGAAGGGGCCCAAGTGGAAAGAAAAGCATTCGAAGAGCAGATAAAAGTTCTCACAACTGAGTGACTTATGGTGATCATTGGACCTCAAATGATGGTGATTTATAAACCATTCGATGTTAAGATTGCGATCAGGCCACGTCCTCATAACCCTCTGTGGGTGTCCCACTCACACACTCCAATTCATAGTTCCTCGATCTCAGAAACATGATCATACCTCGACATTTCTCGCCGAGAAAGCACGCACCTGCTTCTTCTCCAGATTTTCCTTGGCTTACGAGTCCGACTGCGTCATAATCTGCAGATTCCAGATCAATCATGATCGACAGCGCCCGACCCACTGGCCGCCCTGCGGTGGCGATGATTGTGGACTAGTGAGAGCACGGCCGACAGTAACTGCAAAGCGAGAATGCTGGAAAGGCGCACACGAGGAAGAGAAGGAGATCATCCACGGACAAAGCAAAGCACGGCCGATTGCGCTGTCCAACTGCAGCGACGCGAGACGAGCATTCATCGGCATTCGAGATGAGGAGGATAGTCGCGCGACAGTTGCTGCAATATGCGCGGCCCTTTTGACTTCCTGACAGCCATTTTTGCAATCTTGGTGAACGCGGGCCGAGATATGGAACCGCGACTCCAAAGGGGTTGAGTTGATGTTCGAGCGAAGGCCGACATTTGACAGAGAAACAAGATCTTGAAGAAAAGATGGAGCCTAATATTATGCAGCAGAGGCCTGGCCGTCGCGGTGAGAGTCTAAATTACGACATGCACGAGAAAGTTATGCCCGGATTGTCCCAGAGAGTAAGCCTTGCTCCCTCTCTTTCTCTCCCGTGCCTCCAGGATCGAGTGGGGATTTGGAGCGAGCTTGCTGGAAGAGGTCGTCAAATCGGTGATGCTTCGGATGGCAACGAGCATCAGACCTCTACAATAAACGGATACCGACTCGAAACCTTTCACTGAAACTCATGACGTCCGCATGCAGGCACGCGAGGCTCGAGAATGGGTTTTCAAAGAAATCAAAGATCCCGGCACGCTAACGATGAAGCCTCGGAAGAGGTGGCGCATAGATGGACCGCAATTGTACGTGAAATTCACCAGAGAAGAAGGTCACTTTGCCCTGAACAACTTATGCACGCTCCCGCGATATCACATGCTCCCGGAGCTCAGAAGGCTGCAGTGCTGGTACCTCCCCAAGCTTCCGAAGATGGTGCACCCAGTGTGCTATCATCCGCCCGTGCCCAGGGTAAGCTCAGTTGCCCTCTGTGGCTTAAAATCGCACACGCCTGGAAGAAAAACATCGACCGCGTTGCGGCGTAGAGCCCAGCAGAGGTCAGAGGGAACTGACCCCGAGAGCCGAACGAGGCGCACACAGCTCACCTCTCTTCCATAGCCGATCGAGTGAGACGTTCTTGAAGTAATTCTCTGCAAGACACCGGCGAATGGGGCATGAATGTGCAATGTTGTTCTGTTTGCAGAGGAGGAGAGCGCACACCATATTTGCCCGGCCACAAATATGGGAGAACGAGGACAAGTGGGGGCGATGGGATCAATCCGCGCAACGTGACACGGACTCGGAACTTGAAGGAAAGATAGCGGAAAAGTATGAACCACTCACTCACTTGTGTGCCTGCCAAAAACCGAAATACGATGGTGAATTGCACTGCAGACGACCTTAAGAAGGCCCGCCTGCTGCTTTCGATGTAGAATGGAGGAATGTAACGAGTTGTGCCATGACATCTCGTTACTCTTCCAAAACCAGTTCATTGCAACAGGTTGATTTTAGACCAGGCCTGAAGCCTGTGACGTCGATACCGAGGGAAAGTTCTCTCGATAGAAGTGCTCATGCTTTGTTCCATCTCCGCAGCTGGAAGGTAATGTTTCCTTCGACATTCCTCCCCGATTCTCAGCTCGTCATCTTTGAGGACTAAACCAACACCGTGTTTGCGTCCTTGCTACATGTGGTTTTGCATGATAAAAATCAAGCGTCTTCAACGACAAGCTCAACACAAATCGCTACTATAAAACACATGCTGAAGCCATAGAAGCATGGAGGAAGGAATACCGCAAGTACTGGTATAGAGCGAAGACTCCACCCAAACCCAAGCTCATTAGCAATTTGAGGTGATTTACCCCTCTCCAACTCCTCTGGCATGACATCCACCTTGCAGTAAAATCTTACCCCAAGTGACCTACCACCATCAGATTTGTCAATTCTCTTTCTTTTCAATGACGGACATAAGATACTCAACCTCGAAGAGATTTCCCAAACTTTTCTGGGCTGGAAATTTCAATACAAAATCATCGAAACTTATATCCACCTGTCAAGAGTCTTCAAGTCTGCACTTGATGTAATGTACTGTAAGTTCACTGGTAGATTGCTCCGATGAAATAGAGTGACTTTAATCAGCCTGAACTGCGACAATCGCTGAACAGCGGAGCTTCTTACTGTACGCCCAAGTCGCGTTTTGAAATAATTTGACTATCAAACTTTCGAAACACGTCTAGAATGGAAACTTCTGTTTCAACGTCACGCCTCATCGCATGGTTCTCAGGGTGCTACCCCTTTTGACAATCTACCTTTACATCTAACATATAGCGAACGATAATGTTGCACCAACTGCTGATACCTCGATACGACTATCCACCTTAGCAGTTTATTCGACACTCAGTCCCATTCTCCAGAACTAAACCTGACCTTAGAGCTTTGAAAAGAGCTGTATCCGACATAGCCACTGGCACCAATTGATAATCATGCTAAGCATCTCTTTGTGTACTCTGATTGGCGTTTACAAAGGTGATTACAGTTGCAATCATCATGCGGAATGAAGAACACGAAATTTACTCCATCAGATACCCATCCTGAATGTTTTGGGTATTTTCTCTATTATGATGAGTAACAGAACACATAAAATCCCAAACCTGACTTTTGGCATAGACGTTGTTTCTGAATTGTGATTTTGGAACCTGGAGCAGGTCGAGGAAGTGGGATCTGGATGAACTGCGCAAGTTGGAAGCCTGGCAGCAAAAACTCAGTGAGCCTCAATCACTCCACACTTCAGATTATAATCCAACATCTGCGGAGGAGTCTGACGGAGAGGGGTACTCTGGGCATGGAGACAACTTGAGTACGGACGACTGGTGGGGCAGTTGACTTCTGATATCTTTCCATAGAACTCAAGAGGTCTTAGTCGTGTACGAGCATTTAGCTTCACAGGTAGCACAGCGAATTTTGATAACGAAGGCTCGCGCACAAAACATATACATCAGGCAGTTCGGTCGGCATGTCAAAACTCTCAGACTCTCCTTGCTTAATAAAAAACGACACCAGCACAAAAGTATGAACGTTACGAGTATTGAAATAAAAAGCGTGCCGACTATTTCGGACGCCAATCACATTTCAGTTATTCACTGCGCTAAGAACACACAGTGGCGACAAAGTAGTGGGAGAACAAGAGCCCAAGGAACCTTCGAAGTTGATAAGTCACTCGGGAGTAGACGGAACTTTAAAGAGAACAAAGTCGTTCCGATGAGATGAGATACATGAACCACGAACAACTGCAAGGAACTTTAAGGGACGCACGAGCTGAGAGAGTACAAGTTCTAGTAGACAATATGGGCGTTTACATGAGATAATGTCACTGTAATGAACATGACTATGACCTGCACTGGCAACAAGGGGGGGTCACAGCCCGACCTCAATTGTGAGAAAGACGATTTGTCCCAAGAGTGATGTATGTGTATACACCATGGAGAGGCGGTAGCTACCACAGTAGACTGAAGTGCTCAACGATGTGTTATTTACGAAATAGAACTCGCCACATGCAAATGTGAAAAAGCAGAAGCTGCAATGTGAACGGTACATGTAGCGGAGATGAAAGCATGCGTTGTTCGAAAATGTAATGGATCACAGTTGCAATACCAAAAAGTTCTACTAAACCAATTAATCTCATTCAAAGACCGGAGTAATTGATGAACAAAAGCATTTCAAAACATTCTCTTTTCTCTCTTAACACTTGCCCCACAAATCACGTACACCTGCAACTCAGAGACTATCTCGAGTATGCTCTGTAGGTGTGACGAATGGCAGTCCCAAACTCACCTTGACATCTTAAATCAAACTGGGACATGAATCCCAGGCTATTAGATTGGCTTTCAACTGCGGATGAGTTGCACACTAAATCACCTATCAAAAAGCTAGATCTACACTGCAAGTTGTTCGTTGCTCAAAAGAACTTCCTACAGAGATTTGAGCAATGAACTCATCTTGCGACAGTTCGCCTGTAAGAAAGATTTACAGTTAGGGACTCGTTATTAAACGAGAACTAGGGTGGGCGTATCAGGCAGTCTTTTGTAGAACACATTCACATAGTAGTACTGATGTACGATATTTCTCCTATGAATATATGAAAAAATTGATTTGTGGGTGGATCGCAACTGCTCCAGTAAGTAAACCCGCCAAAATTGAATGAAATCCCTTCCCACCTCACAGCGAAGACTCAGTCACTCACGATCACATGTGACCTTCCCAACAACGCGCTTCATTGTTTACCAGCTACGACAGGTGCAAGCTGATTCCTGCAAAAATTACATGTTTTTTCTTTATCAATAAAATCGTAACAGAATAAATTGAACGAGGAAAAGAAACTCCATGATATGCTGTGTGAGATGTGCTCTTGACAATCATTCAGCAAGTATAGAATTCATAATTATTTCACACCTCAATGTCGAGAGTATTTGCTTGAAAGTTCATAGACGTAAAAAAATCACCTTTTCACATGATCCAGAATAAGAAGTCTAGGTCCTGGAGGTATCCTTGCATCTCTGAGGGCACTGCACGATACACATACAATATAATAAAAATCGGGTCAACATATGAACGACAGTGAGATTGTTTTTTGTACTTTATTAAGGGCAACAAGACACAAAGTTTTTATCTCCACACATCCAAGAGAGGAGATCACAAAACGAGAAAATCGACCAAAGACTTAGCCACGCATTCACAGTAAAAAGATCTCGAGCTGAGGAAACTCACTTGTCATTCAGTAGAGGAAGAGTCGTGTCAGTAAGTAATCCCTTCTTGAAGTTCTTCTCATATTTTTGCAGGCCCAATGAGTTCAGCATATTCTTCGCTTGAGAATAGAGAAGATCTTCCGTAGGAGGCTTAGAAAAACTTTGGCCAACCTGAATAAAATATATGAAGTCAATTAGAATGAGCTACAAGGTGGAAGGTGGAATACAAGGTGGAAAAAAGCTGATCCACCAAAAAGTGATAAAGGCTATCCGCAAACCTAGATATTCAAAGCTAGCTTTATCACTGTGCTAGATATTCAGAGCTAGCTTTATCACTGTGATGGCAAAGGCAGTGAACAGTATTTCAAATGAAATACCTTATATATTCCACCCTGAATCAAAGCAAAGAAAATGCCAGTTGTAAGGGCATTTCCAGCAACATTGGTTCCGCCAACTCCACTCACGACAGAAAATACTGCTCCTGATCCAAAAGCAGCTACCATACTGCAAACAACAGCCATTCAGACTAATGAGTTTCAAAAAACCAAAAAAAGCATGGATGAATCGTACTTATAGATCTAACCGACATCCGAAAACTTAACAAGTAAGAGAAATAAACCCTATTTCTCAATGTTTTCCACGAAATTAGTCGACTGGATCTACAAACTAAAAAAAAAAAATATCTAAAGTCAGCCTTCATCATTTGCTACACAAAAATCTGCAGTCAACATAGAAGAAATTACTAGGAAGAGGTTTCATGAAATGATGTATTATATATAAAAGAATCAGTGTCCTAAAAGAGAAACGTTCCTAACGTAAACAATAGAAAAACATACTGCTGTTGTGATGAACTTGGAACAGGATTAGGTATATACAACTCAGATAAAGCCTCTTGGCCAACGATTCCAAACTTTCATTCAAAGAGTTTGGAATGAAAGTTTGAAAGAAAAATAAACAGAATACAGAAAAACTGAAGGTAGAAAAGCACAGGAAATTCGGAAAAAATAAAAACTTACCTAGTTTGAACATCTTCCACTCCACCCCGTAGTCGCTTCATCGCGCAAGTGATTCCGGCATTGACTCCCGTCATCACCGCGAAATTACGAGCTTGCATCATAGGACCCCCAGTGAAAGCCTGTACCATCCATCTAACAGTGGATTAGCAAAAGAAAAATGAAACACATAACCATTCACGCACGTATCTTTTAGTCATGCAAAATAATTTGTAAAATTCCAACCCCTTCAGCAGTACGAGAATACGAACGCGACGTGGAATGTACTCCGAGTTCGAAATTAAAATTTAAAAACCCTAAGAACGTCACTTGATTTTCATAAGTCGTCGCCTACTGATTTCCTAGACAGCCCATAACCGACGATGAATTCCACTCTTCAAGCCCACACAAAACCATAACAAAGACAAGTGAAAAAACTCAGCGAAAATTAGAGGCATAAAATCCAGACGAGCCAGTGAGATTCCACATACTTTGGCTTGCTGCAGAGAAGAAGCAGCTTGCGGGCTCAATCCAGGAGCAGCGGGTGGCATACCAGCAGCCATGTCCTGGGTGAAGGATCCCATGAGAGCACCAATAGCTCCTCCCTGGGCAGCACTTCCGACTGTCACCGCCGCCACTTCGACACCGATAGGCTGTTTTCTCAGCCATTGCTTCACCTTGAAATCCACTTCTTTCAGCTTCGCCTGCACCTGCACGAGAGGGCCACCCCCGGCCATCCCCACCCTCGTCTGCTGCGTAGTACTCATCTCCGAAGATCGATGCCTGTCACAACCACTTGCTGTAAAACCCTGCGACAATCCTCAAACGCACCGAGGTCTGCCGCGTGAACTGACCATTTACAGCAGAGGCAGAGTCCCTAGATCCACCATAGCCAGCCAACGGAGGAGCGTGGGTGAGTGACACCTCGGACCTGCTAACTGTTAGCCTCGAAAGCACTCAGACTCCCAACCAACGGACGGAAGAACCTCCGGACGGACTGATTCCCACAGAACCTCTTCTCTCTCCCGTCCCTTCCCTTCTTCATCTCTGCCTCTGGCACTCGGGATCAAGATGCCCAATCCTGTCTTGTTCTCAGATAGTTGATTTGGCTGCCCAGGTTTTCAGGGTAGAGTCTCCGCCCCCGGGTGGGCCTTTTTCTCACATTATAATTTGCTTTTTTATTGAGCTACGAGCTTAGTTCCTCGCATTGCCAAGAGGTTTCCGGACTCCACAGTGTCTCAAGTCCACTAAGTTGTGATTTCCCTCTGTCGTTGGAATCTCATGCACAATTTTATTCTGCGTTTTCGGGATGGATGTGCCTAAACCTCTTAACGACTGGAATGTACGTCACCGCTGCTAGCCTACGTATCCAACATCCAGTTAAGGTGAACTAGATTTAGAAACCACCGCGTTCACACCTGCTCGGACTGGACTTTTCATGACCCGGGGAACATGGAGCAATATGGTCCATTACATAAGCGGTCCCAAAGTGTCTCGAACTTGACCCATATTAGTACCATCTGCTCAGATTGCAGAACCCTAAACTACAAAAAAAAGAGAAATTATGTCATAGGTCCAAACAAATATATTCATTGTGCACTGAATTTGGACTCGAATCATACAGTCTCCAGGTAAGATTTGTTCAAAAATCTGGTTCCTGAATATACATATAACTGTTGAAATTCAAGATACCCTAGTCGTTCACAGTTTGAAATGTTCGGCTCGCACCAATTCTGCCAAAGCCATCCAATATAATAGGTGACGGGAGAGGACACAAATGCAACCTCGATATTTCTCAAAAGTTTTCAGTAAAAGAATCTCGTTATGTGATAGAGCACACTGAGTCTTATATTGTTTGATAGTTCCCACATCATGATGCTGTAGGTACCTAGCCAATATTCGCTGAAACGATAATTCGGGGCGAAAAGTAAGTTCTATTCTACTTTTTTGACAAGCATGAGCATAACAACAAGAATAGAGAAAACCAACTGAGGCTATTTGTCCAATAATGACATGATGAAGAAGAGTGGTACCTATGAAAGGAAGTAAGAAAGAAAGGCTAAATTCAGTTTAATTATTTAGTATGACACATCAACTGTGAATATATATTAAATCTAAATTATGTAAAAAAAAAGACATGACCAAAAATGTCAACGCAATGCATTGAAGTTAATATTTTCCAATCATAATTTTCGGTTGAATTTATTCTATTCTAAACCCCTCATAATAAATAATATATCTCACCTTGATCGTGAACATCTTTCTTTCCTAAATTACTTAGTAAGATATATGTTTCACGTAATATCTGTTTACTGAAAAACCATGCTCATCTAAACCATCGGAGAGTATACTAAATCAAATATTAATACCAACTAAATACTACCTGATTTATAATCTGTTACCCACAAGTGAAGTGAAATTAATACAAGAATAATAATTCTGAAAAAACGTCATCCTATTTGATCAATTACAATCACAATATTCATCAAATGAACTATTTGAATAAAAAAACATCAATTTGAATTCTTAAAAACTGTGAATAATAGGAATTCACATGTGATAATGAAAAATATTAAATTATGATGTATTTTAAACTATAACCAAAATATCTGAAAATTTTTACACTCATATTCATGAAAAATAATTAGTCTATCTTGAAAAAATAAATTTAAGAAAAAATCATTAAATTTATTCAAACAAAATCTCAAATTCGTTCAGAGAAAATTTATTGAAAAAAAAAATTCAGGATTTACAAATTTCATGTACAAATAGATATCAAATTCATTTCAGTTGAATTGATTCAGTATCATGAAATTATCAAACTGTTTGTTACAATGTCTTGAATCTTTCTTTAATTCATAAAAGGTTTAAACAATCTGCAATTTACTTAATCTTGATTTGTTTTATAAACATTCCGTAGGATATTTAATAAAGATCATCTAAATTATCAAAAAGATAACAGCAAAAATTTTCAAGTTCTTGAATAAGTTTATAAAACAAATCAATGATGTACTATTTAGCCATTTAAAATTTATTGATTTTATTTTTCAAATTGAATACTTTGATTACCAATCTTTCTTGGTAAACATGTTATAATTTTTCAATGAAATTTATTTCAATTTATCTATTGTTCATTAGTTGTTGATTATTGAAAGTAATATCAACTTTTTAATCAAACATTTGTAATAAATCTTGAATCCCATTGTCTGAAAAGGGTATTTATTTTCAAAATCATTATTGTATCATCACCAATATAAATTTGATAAATTCTTAATTTAGTTATATTAACATATTTGTCAAAATATTAAAAGTGTGATTACATACATACTTACATAACTAAATATTTCTTATTATTTTATTTTATTTTCATGTATTGACATGTGTGAAAGTTTTCTTATCTCCTCATGCTTAAATTTTATTTGAAGCATGACTTGGATTGAGAAATATGATCTTATATGAAAAAAAAAAATATGATTCATCATGAAAACAATAGTAATGTTTCCGTTAATAAAGCTTTCTTTATTATTTTTTTGGTTTAATATGAGGCGTATGAGTTTTATCTCCTTGTTCTATAATATTGATTTATTGAAAAAAACCATTTCAACTAATTCACAATTTTTAATTGAATAGATGACACATTTTGAATTTTACACGTTACTTTTATAAAAAACTAATTTTTATAAAATAATCAGCTTGGATCTACTTCTTTTTTCAATAATTTTACTTGTAAATAATTGCACTAAAAACACTCTATCCAATAAACTCATGAGTTTATAGCTTTTCTCACTCTACAAAAATATAATAAAATATGAATGTGGACTAAATATTGCAGTTAGATGAAGAATTGATCACTTTTCTTTACATAAGAAATCAATTTACTCAAACTTCCACATATATCATGCTTTCATTGCTCAATTTATTCATCATCAGGTTTTACCACTCAAGTTTGTAATCAGATTATAACTCCATACTATAGTTTGAATAATTCCTATGAAATACAGCTTGTTGAGTTTAACATTAAAGAAGAAAAATAAATTGAAAGAAATCTGATCAACTCATAATTAATAAATTTTTGTGCTAATTTAATATGATGTAGTTGCTTTGCATTCAATATTGTGAACATCAAAAAATCATAAAATACAACAATAATGAAGATGATCAAATCAAATGTTGATAAAAAAACATCATTGTTATTCGTTTGCAGAAAATGACAAATTTTACTCAGAAATATTTTGACATACGGTGAAAAATAACTTAGTTTTATCTTAAAAAAACCAATAAGGTATACAGCACTGTTGAGATTCGATGTTAGCTAGTACTTTCAATTTTCGAATTAATATGACCACAACTAAATAAATTTTTAACAAATTTTGTGCTTTTTTGGATATTTTTTTGAAAATCATGATGCAATTTTTTGCTCAAATTATTTTACACTTAATTTGAACAATAAATGTAACAATATTTGTACATATTTTTTAGGTATCTATACAAAGATCATATATATTTAATCTTAGTCAAACTCAAAATTAACCTTTGATAAGATTGTAGACTTGTTTGATTGTTTGTTGTCATGTTACTCATATTTTATAAACTTAAATTTTTCATTAAAAAATTCAAAAATCTTCAATTATAACATCCCATTGCAAAACAAAATTCTATTGCATATTCAAATTTTTTAAAAAATCTAATCAAAATTAAAATTTCTCTTTAAATTTCTTCCTGTAAATTTTGAATTTCAAAAGAAATTTTTTATTACAAATTATTCCATGGTTTGTTGCATTTTTATCTTATCTGTATGTTCTTTATTCAAATATGTAAAAACACAAAACGTATCATTGACATAATATGAAAACATTTTTCACTGTAACCAATATAAGTTGTGAAAAAAAATAATTTGCTTTGTTGAAACAAAACTAATCTATGTTGTTGAGAGATATCACCAACTGCCCTATATAACTTTGGTCTAACTTCTCTAATTTGGATGGCTAAATTGTTTAAGGTTTATTATTATACTTATTTTAATAAAAATTTGATAGTCAAATTTAATCTAATTATATAAAAGAAATAATTAGTATGTAATATTTTATGATTAAAACTTATGTTATCGAAAATTATTTTTTTAATTAATTTTTAAAAAAAATTAGACATAAATCTTATGTCTTGCATATAAACATAGAATCATGAGGGTGAAGGTCTGATTTTTAAATAGGAATAATATATATAATTTTGTTGATTCAAATAAAAATAAATCTTGATGTGTCAATATTAATTTTGATGATTGCAGCATGTATTTTTGTTATTAATTTTAAATGATGTAAATTTATTTTTATGTAAAATTTATTAAAATAAAATCAATTTAAAAAAAATTTAAACTTTCAAATATTTAATTTAATATACCTTATAAAACTAAAAAAGATTTCATTTACAGAATTAAGTACTTCAAAAAAGGAATATATCTGAAACGAGATTGGTAAACTTCAATCAAAACCTTAATGTTCATATAAATTTAAAAAATCAATTCAATATTCTTGTTTCATAATGTCATAGTATGACTAATTCTAGAGTTGTGTAAATAAAATTATTGGAAGTGAGAATTATCTGGAATGATCATCAAGATTATACAAAAGTATTGAAGTGTTCACCTTCTTCATAAAAAAATGTCTATTTATTATTAACAATGTTGCTAAAGATATGTATGAAGTTGTGTGTATATATATATATATATATATATCACTTGCTGATTTTTCACAAGCATGACTGGATGTAAAAAAAGTTAGTTATCTAATATGTCTTAAATATGAACAATCATAAAAAATGAATCTAATATATGAGATTAATCCAAGCTTACATATTTAAGTTTATACCAAAATCTTAGATTGTGAAAATTGAACCCAAGTCCAAGGATTGTAAACCAATTTTCACAAGTTTCTCATATACATGATTATGCTAGAGTAATTACCACCATTTTGCGCAAATTTTATTTCTCAACTTTT